CTGGGGATCAAGCCCCCAACCTGGGCGTGTGCCCTTGACTGGAATCGAAGCCAGGACCCTTCAGTCTGTAGGCCCAACACAATCCACTGAGCCAAATCAGGTAGGGCAAGTTCTAAATTTAGAATTGTAGATGGCAGAGCCTGAGGCCTGATAGTCCCTCCCCAGGGTCTGGGGTATCCTCAGCTGAGCAATAAGCCTTCAAAAGGACAGTGCTAGCTCAGGTCCAAAGCTGTTTCTGAGGGGTTTTCAACTGACTCCACCCTTTTCACTCATGCATGTCAGAATCCCAGGAACTGAGACCTGCCGGCAGGCTTTGGGAGGGGATGGCAGCGGCCAGTGGGTGGGGAGGCAGATGGTCACCAGAAGATGCAGGGCTGGGGAAGATGAAGATTGGGGGCTAAATCATAGGCCCCACCTGGGGCGTTCCTGGGTGTTCAGAGCAGTGTCTAGGATCTAACACGGTGGGCAGTGGTGGGCGCACAGAACTAACTACATCTCCATCATAACGGAACTGGGTGCAAACAGCATAACCCAGGAGACCCATGTAGGGCTGGGGGCCCGGAGTTTGGCCAAGAGGAAAGGGAAAGGAACCTAATGGAAAGGAGAAGCTTAGACCTCAGGAATGTGGCTGAAGGCATGGATCTTGGGTATAACAATCAGGGAGGGGGGGTGTGGATGGGCAGAGCATTAAGAAACCCCAATACTGTGTTTCCTGTTCTGTGAGGCCCTTCAACCACATCTGGACACTATAGTCTCAGTGAGTGCAGGGCAACTCTGGGCCAGCAGGGGCAAAAGGGAGGTAGAAACCACTCCACTCCATACATGTTCAGGAAAGCTGTTTCCACAGTCTGTTGTCCACTTGATCTGGCAACAAGAACCCTCACTTTGAGAGTGTTTTTCTCCGTAGCTTCTGTTTGCAGACATTTAAATCTAACTTCTCAGATGATTTTAATTTATAAAGAAACTAAATCAGACATTTTTTCTTCTTTATTGCAAGCAGATTCAAGTCTCCTGCTTAGATAATCTGCAGAAAAGTCCAATATAATTAATAACTCATACTTTATCTACAGAAATAAAAGTTAAAAACAGCATACAAAATAAACTGTACAGAAATGTAAGATTTGGTTTAATTTATAATTTAATGGTTCAAAGCAGGTTAATGAAATACTATCAATTAAACATGACTGTCTGGAGGCTGACATTATCTTAAACGCACCTACTATAGTCAATAATTTAAAAATAAATTCCAGTATTTATGATGATGACAACTACAGATTCCATTCCTGCTAAATACATTTTTGAAGATTCTCTTTTATTACATTACATAATCAATGGACATTTTAAATGGCAATGCAGACATACATTATAATTTTAAGTCACAGACAATATATGCATATTAAAATTCTGTGTATTTTGATACGGTAAAAAATAAAGCTATATAAACTGATCTTTATATATTTTTTTCTGCAAAAGTAGAATCACACTTTAATAATACTTCCAACATGTCTTCATTAAAACTTTGTTGATAGACAATATCAGAATGATTCTCATTCTCATTTACCTACCCTCTACTTTAAAAAAAAAAAAAATGAAGTAACCAACAGAAAATTTTCCTGTTTTTAAAGTTACAAATGGGAAACTTCCAAAAGAAATGAAGAACACAAGAAACTTCATACCACGGTGTTATATTGAGCTATCAAATAAATAATATTAATTTAAAGGTAAAGTAGAAGTGGTTGCTTTAGGTTTTTACTAGTCAGTGCAAATCAGGTGAACTTAGTGGTTTAAAGAAAAAGGCCAGAAAACTCCCTTTAGGTTGCACTGAACATTTGGGGATGCCCAGCAATTGAAGAATAGTGGGCACGGCAGGGCTGAGACACTTTTGTAAAGTTGCACGATCTCACCAGGCCAGACTGCAGTTCTATAAACCCGTTATTGCAGAAGCTGGTTGCTTTCAGCCTCCTTCCCTCGTCCTGGCTGCACCACCAGGTGTCACCTGGTCTGTGTTCACCCTATCGAGTCAAATGCACAGGAGGGGGTGGATTTGGGTTCTAATAGGAATGCCAAGGGAAGGATGCTTTTCTCCTAGCTGCCCCGTGGCAGAGGGTCAGCCTGTGATCCTGTGAAGACGCTGCAGCTAGGAGGGTCCAGGTGCCACTTTCTGCCACTTGTCCCAAGGGCGAAGCTTGGGGGGGAGGGGAAGGTGTCAGTGGGGAGGGGAGAGGTTGGACTTCCTGAAAAGGAGGAGCTTGGGCCACCCAGCAGCTCCGCTCACACCCAGGGGCTGCCCTGCAAAGCACTTGGCATGAAGCCCCAGGAAGCCTTGTCTTTTGGGGGCTCCTCACGTGATCCCCTTAGGAAGAAGGCAGGATGTTTGGGGCCTGGGGAACATGTATGTGTGTGTGTTGTGTGTGTGTGCATGAGAACTGGCACATGTGTACATGAGTGGCTGTGAGTGGATGTGACTCTTGAGAGTGAGAGAAGGTGACATGGTCGGGACCACTCGTGCTTATAGGATGTTGGGCTGGAATGCGGATTAGGAACCAGATATTCTGACCAACGTGGGAAATTATGAGTTAATGATCTACTAACATAAGCAATCATGAGTAAGAGTTTCAAAACTAAGAAAAAAAATTGCTTAACGTTACTTGCTTTAAAGTTAAAGGAAGTAAAGACTAACTTCTGTGAGGTGAAAAGAAATCACATTAATATCTGAATATCAGAGACATATCTGAAATGTCATTTCAGCGGGGTTCTTCTCTTCCTCCCTTTGCTTCTGTCCCTTCATTTCCCACACACGTTTTTAAGAAACATCATGGAGCATGTACATACAGGCTTAGTAACTTTCATATGCGACTTCAGCTATCCGAGGTAAATGGTAACCGTCTCAACACAGGTGGAAAGAAGATACCGAACCATCAAGTAAAAAGCTTCTGTGTTAAGGCGGAAAGATGGAAATTAAAAACAAAACCGAAAGCAGATGAAGTTTGCAGTGAACTGTGAAGAATAAGCATAGCAAAACATTATACTCTGAATATGCCTTTCAACTGATCACTGCCACCAGAAACACCAAAAAACGAACAGGTGTAGAGAATAAAATCAAACCTGAAAATTCACATTCATCAGATCTCGAGACATTCAGCCAAAACTCGCGCCAGAATTTAAAGTGGCCAAAATTTCATCAACTTAAAAAATAAAAAGCTTTAAAAACATACTTTAAAAATTAGATATGGTATGTTAACAAATAAACGAATAAGAGATAGAAACAGCTATGAAAATACTTCAGTGCAAAGGCAATTTTAAGATTCCTAAAAAAATACATTACAAAGAATTTGTTAACTAAACATACAGAGAATCTGTCCCCCCTACAGGTATGACTTATACCCATATTAGGTTCTTAAAAACGGCTGTAAAAATGCGCACACCATTGTTTGCAGGGCCTGGTGTGGACCAGAACAGCCAGGGGCTGCTACCACACACAGAACATGGGGAGTGACAGGAAGGCAGGATGGACGGGTGGGTGTGGCGAGGAGGACTCCCGGATGGACAGGGCGCCAGACTTTCGTGACCTAGTCTTTGGTATGGTGTTTACACTTCCCCTCAATTCATCCCAACTACTCTGTGTTCACTGTTCTTACTGTGAATTTATTCCCTACATCAACTAAATATTTTAGGTGAGACATTATACAATCAAATTGTGGAATTTGAACTTCCAAAACTATGTAACATCCAGCATCTCGGAAGCAGACTCGGGGTTCACTTACCAGCGCCCCCCAATTCCGCAGCGTGAGATCAGCCGGCGGACCAGGTCCTTGCTCTTAGGTTAGTTTCCGGGTGACACTTTTCTAAAAAGGCATCAGTTTTAACATTTAAAGTTTGAATCTCACCCTGAAATGTCTTCCTTATGGACCATTAAGGCTATTTTATGTCAAGTAGGCTATACCTAAACATAGAAACACCAGTGCAGGAAAGTGACAGAACTTGAACTCAGCAGCCTCCTGCTGGTCTACCCGCTGGACGCGCACACACAGCAAGGCAGAGGCCGAACAGGAAGCTCAGAGTGAGCTTTGGTCAGAGCTACTGGGGAGGTGGCAGCCTCAAGTGGCGATATTGCTTTCAGTACTCATGTGCCGTCTCGGGGGGGGGGGGGGGGGGGGGCGGGGCGGCCCCGTGGGCCTGTGTAGATCTTGGAAGAACACTGCCCCTAAGAGGCCACCTCTCCAGGAGGGCGCTGAGAGAGACCACCCCCTCCCCCCCAGCCCCCACGAAATATACATTTCCCAACAAGAGTAAACGGACACGCTTCGCCCTTGGAAGCAAAGGTGAGGATCTCAAAACTTGTACTGGGAAAGCTTACATGGACAGCATTGCCCATTCCTCCTACGTGATTCCTCTTTCCCCCTTCCCAGGGAACGGGAAAGGAAGAGACATGGAAACACAGAGTCCAAAACGCACAGGGGTCACACCTCCCTCAGAGAAACAAACTCTGAAGCAGACAGGACCCCAAGAATCAGCTTCAGTAAGCGGAGGGGTCTGAACAGAAGCAACAGCACGGGGGCGGGGCAACTCCGACAGGAAATGGATGCGCGATTGCCCTTGTCTGTGCCACAAGCGGAGGTACCAGAGGGCTCTGGAGAAGGAACCATCGGTTCCGCAGGGGAGAGTCACGTCTGTGCTTCAGGGCGGCTGTGGGGGGACTGCTTCCCGCCTACAGCTGGACGGCCCATCTCCACGCAGATGTCCTCCTCGGGTGATGCGTGTGGCAGATGACGGGGTGCAGGCAGACCCTGGCCTGGGACGGATGTAGCAGGCCCTGTACCAGCCCAGTGCACGCCTTCTTGTTAGCAGCCCAGCTCAATACCCGAGGCCGCCAGGCCTGTGAGAAATGACAACCCGGACTGCCAGCCTCCGCACTCCAGATGGGTCCTGGCGCCCCCTCTTCCTCCTCTGGGGGCAGAGGACAAGTGCACACGTGCATGTCGCACGCTCGCGTGCGGTTCTTAAAGGCTCGAACTGGTGATCTGTTCGCCACCTGCCTCCTCGGAGACCCCGTGGCAGCAGGGTGTCCCGCTGGGAAGGCGACAGGTGTCTGAGTCGCAGACCATGGGAGGGAGGGCCGAGCACTCCTTGCTCTCCGGGCACGGTAACGTCACCTGTGTGGAGCGGGAGCCCGGCCAGAAGGCTGAGGTGTGGGGGCTGTGCAGAGAGACAAAACGGCTGACTTCAGAGTGGTCCTGACCCTGGGTGTGCATGCTCTGTCGGAAAACGGAGAAGACCGAGTCAGGCCCCTTCGCAAGAATCCCACCCACGATGATCTGAAGCAATCCCTGCCGTGGTTCTGGCCGGGGTCTCCCACTGCAGGACGCCGGTGAGCGGCATCCATCCAGGTGAACCTCGGTCTGGCTACAAACTCCCCTTGCAGTCCTGTCCCATCGTTGGGTAAAGACAATGCTGATAAAGGCCCCAGGGGGACCAGGTCTGATTCCTTTCATGGACGAGTGCCACGCCAACCCTCAGAGACAGGGTCCACGTCATCCTGACCGGCTGGCTCGCCGGCTCCAGCAGACGCTTATCTCTAGTCACGTAAAGTGACTCTCCTAGGCACCTTTGCATTGGGCAGGCAGGCAAGGAGTGAGGGGCAGCTAGAGAGGAGACATCTATTTTTTAAAAATATATTCTTATTGCCGAAACCGGTTTGGCTCAGTGGTAGAACGTCGGTCTGTGGACTGAAAGGTCCCAGGTTCGATTCCAGTCAAGGGCATGTACCTGGGTTGCGGGCACATCCCCAGTGGGGGGTGTGCAAGAGGCAGCTGGTCGATGTTTCTCTCTCATCAACGTTTCTAGCTCTCTATCTCGCTCCCTTCCTCTCTGTAAAAAATCAATAAAATATATTAATATATATATATATATATATATATATATATATATATATATATATTCTTATTGATTTCAGATAGGGAGAGGGAGAGATAGAAACATCAATGGTGAGAATCATCAATCGGCTGCCTCCTGCACACCCCACACCGGGGATTAAGCCTGCACCCTAGGCATGTGCCCTGACCGGGAATCGACCCGGGCCTTTCTGGTTCACAGGTCAATGTTCAACCACTGAGTGCCGGCCGGGCGGGGAGAAATCTATTTTAAAGGAATGAGCACTCCAACGTGCCTGCTTTGGGGCAGAGAAGAGGGTTTGTCAAATCCGAAGACTCTAGCCCCTTGTTTTGGGGGCCCAGACACAATACCAGGCTTCGGCTGACGGACAGCAGTGCATCTGTACCGGACCTGCCTGGGCTAACATTCAACACTCCTTTTTTTTTACTTCCAAAGAGGGCCTTTCCTGGCGGACTTGTGAAAGGAAGCCGTTTCCACCACCGAGGACGAGGAATGAGATTGTTCTGGCACACCAAGCACGGAGCACACCACGCGGGGACCTCACGCAAGTGCACGTGGAACCATGTTCACCACGGCGTGTGTATGTGCACGTAGGGGATGTATGCACATCCACATGTGTATACACAACACTCAACCATATGTAGTCCAGCCACTCTCAGGCAGGCCACTTACCTGGGACAGAAATTCACGTGTGTGTGTGTGTGTGTGTGTGTGTAACAATGATTTCCTTTTTTGTGTTTGTTTTTAAATGAATCTTTGTTATCAAAAACGGCACAGCACAGCAAAACTTTGGAGGAAAAAACAGACAGTTGGAAAGGTCACAGCACACCCCGGGGGCCTGCCAGGCAGCATGGTGGACGCCGTTACCTATCCGTGGGCTAATCGCGCCGCGGCCCCGGCAAGACGTCCTTCAGCAGCGGCCTGTCCGGACTCAGCGCGGCATCGACCGCTGTTTTGAGTTTCGAGCTCCTCTGCAAGGCGAGGAAAGACACTGAGATGGCTGCCACGGGGGGGGAACCAGGAGAGCTCACCGGGCCGGCTGAGGGCAGAATCCAGCCATGTAACTGGGTGGGGGCCGGTGCCCATGCGGGCACCCGCTAGGCCCCTCTGTGTGAAGAGGGCACGTCAGATTCACATGAAAGTCAGTGCAAAACCCGGGGCAGGATGGGCACGGGCTCTCAGTGCGGGCTTTCCTGGGGGCTCTGCTGGGGAGAAGAGGAGGTCTCCCTAGCAGGAGGGAGCTGGTGCAGAGAGGACGGGCCACGCGGGAGAGCAGGGTCTCAGCTGAAGGGCCTCCTGCCGGGCCTGCTTTCAACCCAGCAAAGACCAGCCTCTGTCGTGAGCACAGGAAATGCTTCCAGAACCCTGAAGCCAAAGATCCTGCCACACTCAGATGAAGGCTCCTCAAGTGCCATTTACTAGACAGCTGTCCCCAACCCTCCCAAAAATAGCCCTGAGGGGAGAAACTGTGTGCCTGCCCATCCTTGTCCTTCTGCCAGTCTTCTTGTCTGCCCCAGTCCTTCTGTCCTCCCATCTCTCCTTTTCCTTCTGATCCTTGGCCCTGTCTCTGGTCAAACAGGAGAGCCCTGCCCACAGCTAGGATCCTGAAAGCTAAAGATCAGCACGGCTGGAATATGAACACTAAGACTTTCTTGTCCGATCACATTATTTTCTCAGTAATAGCAAGAAGATTTGAAGAAGCGAAGAACCATAGGTCTGAATTGTAGAATGTCTTCTGGGGAGGAGGAGAATGAGCTAAACAGGAGGTAGAGTTGTTGCCCTTTGAATTATATATAATTCAATTATATATAAAAAGATAGGTAGTTATAGATACATATATATGTATGTACACACACATACTTTTTAATAGAACAGGTTAGAAGAAAAATAAATCCATCCATTTGAAGTACTATATATTGCATATAAGAGCTAGCCTAATGTTTATTCCTCCAAAGTTTTGCAACAATCGGGGTGGTTTTACAGCAACACCAGCCTTCACCTCGTGCGTGCCAGGAGTGTGCTGGCTGCAGGGACTCTGTGAGAAGGTGTGGGTGTGGGGACACTGTGGTCACACCCCATGTGGCTAGACACCACGGAGCACTCTGTAAAGGTGCAGAAGCGAACCCACTCTCACTAAGCGGCATCGATAGAGCGTTCACGTTCAGCCCAGAGCTGGCACGACTGGATCGATCCCATCAGCGCCCCTGGGACTGACAGAAGTGTTCCCAATAACTCCATCCTGAGCCTTTTCAGACGTGTACACTGCGGTGTGAAGCTAGGTAATTAATTCTAATTCAGATCAGAAAACTTTGATTGCCATAACCACTTGAACTGAAAAAAAAAAAAAAAAAAAAGTAGCATCTTGCTAGTTAAAAAATAGGGTTTAAAATGTATAGAAGAGCAGCTGTTGCTTAAAGAAAAAAGGAGCCTTTCCTTGCTTTAGGCATTTTCCTATTAAACATTTTCCTAAGTCGCATTCATAAACCATGAATACCAAATGTGTTTTCAAAGTACCATTACTTTGGGGGAACACATAAATGTGGGCTTCCAGCTGGGACACAGACACCAGTCTCTAGATAATGCGTTGTCCCTTAACTCTTGGCTCTGATAAAAAAGACTTTGATCCAAGGCGACTGCCACAGAGAAATGCTGTGCGATTGGCTCTCCCTGGCTGAGAAGTAGGCTACTACAACTGTTTAAAGCAAACTAGAAGGCTTTTCTAGAAACACTCCGACTAAAACAAAATTTTAAAAAATGAATTTGGTAGAACTTTTGACTCAAAACACACTTCTCCTGGCTTTGTCCACAGCCCAGATGGCTGGTCCGAGCACACTGCCCTGGGGAGGCCTCAGCTTCCCTGTCTGCAGAATGGACTTAAGAGGTGAATGGGAGCAAGGAGGTCTTGCTGCCCATCCTCTCAGGGCTGTGGAGAGAAGGACGGCACTGAGGAAACTGCTCACGCAGGGGCTTGCGTGACTTAGAAACTGCCACACCCACACCTCCACATGCAGGAACCATGAATTTAAGGCAGCACAGCCCATTGCGCTCTGCTGGGCCTGAGTGAAGACGCAGCCGATCCCTGGATAGAATACTTCCAATGGACGCTGAGAGAGAAACGCTGGTTAGTGAATTGACAGAAATCACAGTCCACATGGCCTTCCCACATCCGGGTACATGTTAGCCCTGGATTTCCTGGTGCGGTGGTGGTCATCACAGACACAGGAGCCGGGAACACCCGTGAGGCTCGGCAGCTCTCGCTAGTAAGAGTCAGCCCTCTGTTGTCCTGTGACTGTAAACTCAAACATGCAAAAAGACAGAAAGCATCACCTTGTTCCGTCAGAAACTCAGGCTGCTGGAAGTCTGAGAAAGCATAAAGATGGTGGACTGCTCGACAGAAAGGCACTGGTTCTTAGTCTGACAGTCCCGGGAGGTTCAGGAGGGGCCACGCACATCGTTAGGTAAGGCAGCAGTGTTATTTAGGCAGAGGTCAGAAGACGGGAGGGAACGAGGAAAGGAAGAGAGAAACGAGAGAACAACGGTGAGTCTGATTAAGTGCCAACAATGTCCCACGTACACCAGGGCGGGTGCTAAGCAACCAGACAGTGCGGCCACGTTCCTCGCAGCTCTAGCCCCCCTGTCCGGGGACGCTCACTTGCTAGAAGGCCGTATGGACCTCATTCCTGCTGTATTTCTCCTCCTTGCCAGCAAAGCCCTAAAAACATCCCTGTCCTATGTCACTTGTTTAAAGATGAAAACTTAAAACAATTCGTAGGGCAGTTAGATGTGCATACTCTCACCGATCTCCTGAGTTTGTGTCAGCACCGACTTTACAAACATGGCAGATACATACAGAAGGTGATCACTAGGAACTGGTGCCACTGGCTTCCACATTTTACATTAACACCAGAGTTCTGAGAAAGCTCACCAATCCAGACCCCATTCCATTGCCGGGATCAGATGGGGTGGGGAAAAGGCAGTGCCAGGCCACGTCCCCTGCACCCCAGGGAGGGCTGCCTGTCATCCATCCTAAACCTGGGCCAACAGCACGTGGAGATCCAGCTCTCTGAGCGCCTCACCACTGCTCCCGGAACCTGTGACATGCCCTCTTCTGCCTCATGCCAGCCCTCCTTCACCTGCACAACCACCTGTGCTCTACGAGGAAGACATGCGGCCCGCAGGAACAGCCTCAGCTGTGGCTGCTGCCCTCTCACCAGGGCCCTTCCTTCTCCTTAGTGAGGCTCTGCACCTCCATGGGCAAATCACAGGGGTGATGGGGTGGGGGACATGCCCTCCCTGAGATTGTAGGGGTGAGGGGGTAGGGGAACGTGCCCTCCTGAGATTGCAGGGGTGAGGGGATGGGGGAACGTGCCCTCCTGAGATTGCAGGGGTGAGGGGTTGGGGGAACGTGCCCTCCTGAGATTGCAGGGGTGAGGGGTTGGGGGAACGTGCCCTCCCGAGATTGCAGGGGTGAGGGGGTGGGGGATGTGACCTGAGATTGCAGGGGTGAGGGGATGAGGATGTGCCCTCCCTGAGATTCCAGGGGTGTAGGGGAAGGGGGTTGTGCCCTCCCTGAGATTGCAGGGGTGAGGGGATGAGGATGTGCCCTCCCTGAGAGCTCCTGGAAGGGCCAGCGTGGTTTTGGAAAGTTCTGAGTGACACCTTCTGTGTCCTACGCCAGTTTGGACATTCTGCATATCTCACTTCTTACCTGAATCCAGAATTCAGCTTGTTGGCCTTAATTTGGGAATGTGGAAACTAAGTAGCCCGACTAACTATCAGAATTTCCGGGTGTAAATGCTAACGTTTTGGGCCACATTCACCATCCCTAAAAATAATGCAATTTTATCTTTAAAATAACGATTGATTTAAACAAACTTTTTTAGACTTAATGAAATAATTGATCTTCTGTATTGGCTTAATCTTTTTCTTATTTCAGCTGACTAGATGCTTAGGTCTAAACGTTGGTCATCTTGAATTTTACCTAAGTTAATGTTTAAAATCACCTATCATGAAATTTATTATAATACCTGTCCTGATGACACTTTCAACCTAAACCTTTCATGCTATCCTGGGTAAGGACCATATCCTGCTCTGAATCTGGGGAGCCGCGGTGCCCATGCCCCTGCGGGAGCCGCTGGGTACCTGGACTCTCTCGGTGGCGCTGGGCCATAGATGCCTGCACAGGACTTTCTTGAGAACATCAGGAAGGAGGCTAATCGTGATGAGCAGGATGATGGCCAGCCAGGCAGGGCCACTGGATAACATCTGTATGAACACGTAGTACATCCTTTGATAATTGAGGAATGGCCTGGAGCGTTGAGGGAAAGAAGAAAAACAACAGGATGGCAGGTCAGAAATCATCAGGAGAAACACTGAAATCCCAGTCTGTTTCCTCCACCGGCACAAAGAACCCATTCATCTGGCAGCTTTTACTCCTGGCAGCGATGATCATTGGGCAAGCCACGGAACCTGCCTGCTTCGAATTAAGCATAGCCCTAATGGGATGGAGAACTTCCCCTATAATGCTGGGGAATTCTGAATGGGAAAAGGAGGAGGGGATTGTGTGAAGTCACCCCAAAGGGAAAATAAGTCCCCAAAGTTTAGTTTCAGAACAACAACAACAAAAAAGATTTTAAAAGATTAAAATAGGTAATCTTTTTGGTATCTCAGAATCACAATGGCTATTAACATGAAGATTTACAAAGGTTCTGTTCATCAGAGTTCTAGTTCACTATGCCATAAAATTCTTAGAAATTGTCTATAAGAATAGAGAGCAAATCTATAACTCAAAGGAAATATCTATACTGGGCTCCATAAAAGAAGTTGAAAAAGATGCAGCAATTGATATAATGCTGAACTTGAGTTACAGTTTCATGATCCCTAAACCCTGAGACCCAGGAGCCAGTCAGAGAAGTTTCCAGAATGAAATATTTCTCTTCCATAGCTGCAGCTTTAATAGCTTTGGAAAGTTCACTAGAATTTTCAGGGATTTTTCTTTCTTTTTTAAGCTTGGCCCAGGGTTGTTGGAAAACCATTCAAAACTTGTCTAACATTTCTGTATTTCCAGATCGCAAAGAACATGTAGTGCATGGCTTTGGTCACAAGAGGGCAGTAATGTAATGAGAGGTTGGGTGGATATCAGCAACTGCCAACATGGGGATAAGGTTGGTCACAGAGGCTTTCTCTACATTCAGGGGCTGCCGTGTTTCTCAGGAGCTATGCTCCATATTAAAGTTGCAAAATGGAGAGGAGCCAGCCAGGCCTAATAGAAGGAGGCACTTCCTCCCAGGTCACGGCCACTCCTCACTTACTTTCCCCTAGTCCCAGGCCTGCTCAGGAAATGCTCTGCTTTACGGGGAAGGTAGAAATGTACACAGGAGAATGATAAGACAATATGGTACCTGTCGTGACAGAAGAATGAATAAATGCTTAGGGAACCAGGTAGAACCGTCTGTGAGGTGATTCGAGGAAAGCATTGAAGAGGACAAGGAACCACAGGGCTCTGAAGGATGAATAAGAACTCAAGAGGTAGGCTAACTGGAAAGGGCATTTTTGGTGGTGGGAAGAGCATGGGCGAAGGGGTGCTTGTGACAGCACCAGAACACATGTCAAGTGCAGCCACTTCTTGCCCTCATCAAAACTGACCAAGCCAACGTTGCTTCTTGAATGCTTTGTTGCAATAATATTTAAACCACATGTCCTGTCTGCTTTCAGTCGCACGCTGGTTTTCAACACGGTGCTCTTTCTAAAACAGCAATCAGACCCTGCCATTCCCTCTGTTTAAAATCCTCGATGCTGTTCCACTGTTGTCAGATTGGGGCTGTGGTCCTACCTGTCCTATAGGCGCAGTGCGGCCTGCTCCTACCTACTTTTCCAGCTGGACCAAGGCTCCTCTCTAGTCACAGTGGACTTGCCATGGCCCTCCACAGTGCTTTTGCACATGCATCTCTCTTCCTGAAGAGGAGGGATCTGTCTGGAGCCAGGTTGTCTCGACCTAGTGGCGCTGCTCTCTCTATCCATCTTATCACTTAACAGTGTATGGAGAATGTAGTTGGGAGGAAGATAGAATGAGGCATGCACTGTCCAATACTTAGTCCATGCCTCATTCTGGAGACATCATCATAACAGCTCTCACTTATTAAATACTTTCATTTTAGAAAGCATTTAATAAGTGAGAGCTGTTATGATGATGATTTTTCTCCCAGGTTCCAGTTTAAATAACAATTTTATTTGAGAAAACTTCTCTGACCTCAGTGTGAAATAGGTCCCTTTGCTATAGCATCCACTTCGTTCCTCACTTGTCAAAACCCCGATAAGTTATTATCCAGCATGTTGCCAACACTGAAAATGTGGGGTTCAAGAGGTAGTGACCATGCCTACCTAATCCCTGCCATGGCACAGTGCCTTACACACAGCAGGCAGGCATTCAACAAATACTTGCACACAGGAATGAGGTTAGATTAAAAATGTGTTTTGAGACCCTGGTGAAAGATACTACAGGACTACAAAGGTAATAATCTTATCTAATAAAAGTAATATGCAAATTGATCATACCTCTGCTACACCCACCAGCCAATTAGAGCCAAGATGGCTACAGCTACAGAGAGCAGGAGGGAGGCTTGGGTTTCCCAAGCAATGGAAGAAGCCAAACTTTCTGCCTGCCCTTGCTGGCCTAAGCCTCCACTCAAGGCTACAAAATTTCAATTATAGAAGGTAAACAAATCCCAACAGAAATGGTGGCAGCCACGGAGCGGCTGGAGGCTTGGCTCCGCTCCACGCTACAAAGTTTGAATTGTAGAAGGTAAATAAATTGTAGAAGGTAAATAAATTCCAGATACCAGGGCCTCCGCTTAGGTCGCTTTGGGGGGGGGGGGGGGGGGGCGTGGCCGGCCTGCAAACCACCACAGCCCCCTCACTCAGGCCGCCCCACATTCCAAGGGAATCCCCACCCTGATCCGGGACATCCTTCAGGGCAAACCAGCAGGCCCCCACCCAGGCACCAGGCCTCTATCCTATCTAATAAAAGAGTAATATGCAGATTGACCAACACTCCAACACATAAGATGGCTGCCCCCATGTGGTCAAAGATCCTGCCCCCATGTGGACACAAGATGGACACCACAAGATGGCCAGCAGGGGAGGGCAGTTGGGAGGAACCAGGCCTGCAAGGGAGGGCAGTTGGGGTGATCACCCTTGCAGGGGAGGGCAGTTAGGGGTGACCAGGCCGGCAGAGGAGGGAAGTTGGGGGCAAACATGCAGGCAGGAGAGCAGTTAGACATCCATCAGGCTGGCATGGGAGTGCTTAGTGGGTGATCAGGCTGGCAGGCAGAAGTGGTTAGGGGCAATCAGGAAGGCAGGCAGGTGAGCAGTTGGGAGCCAGCAGTCCTGGATTGTGAGAGGGATATCCAACTGTCCTCGAGGGTTTCCAGATTGGAGAAGGTGCAGGCTGGGCTGAGGGCCACCACTACCCTCTTACCCTCCTGCACAAATTTTGTGCACCAGGTCTCTAGTGATTACATAATACTTATAATTCTTACCAGACAATCCCTCCCCAGAGGAGGGAAAAGACAACGTAGAATAGCAGCGACCCCCAGATGACAAAGTGGTTTATCCAAGTCCAGTAGTGTGTATCTAATGCCAGCTGAAAGAAAAAAGTGATTAACAGTGATATTATCCACATGTCATGTGAGCCATGGCAAGGAAAGAAAGCCAGAAAATAATGAGACCAACCAAGACCTTAATTTTAGCCACAATGTCCGTATGAAACTGATCAAGGAACACTAACACTTATTCTTCCAATGAAGATACAGAATGTGTGACATCACGTCCTTGTAATCACAGCATTTCTAGTAACTCTCACTAGGATCCTGGGGAAACACGGGGCAGTGTTTCTCCAACAGCAGGGACTCAGGGGCGACTGCTTAAGGGATTGGCTATATTACTTCTAAGAAAATTATTTTTTAATTTTCTTTCTATCACTTTTTAAAAACTCAGATTGATAGGTTTGGGGACTTTCATAATAATATCACATATAGAATTTGACTTTTAAAAGAGCTGGGCCCTGGCCAGTTTGGCTCAGTGATAGTGCATCAGCTTGTGGATTGAAGGGTCCCAGGTCCCATTTGGGTCAAGGGCACATGCCTGGGTTGCAGGCTTGATCCCCAGTGGGGGGCATGCAGGGAGGCAGCTGATCAATGATTATCTCTCATCATTGACGTTTCTATCTCTCTCTCTCTTTCTCTTCCTCTATAAAATTAATTTAAAAAAATACTAAACAATAAAAATAAAAAACAAAAGAGCTGGATTTTCCATAATACATTGATTTCAGTTAAAGTGCTTTTTTTTATTTTTTATTTTTTTTATTATGCTGGGGGGCAGGTGGGCTTGCCAATGAAAATAATTCTAATCTGAATCCTTTTACAAAGAAAAGGCTCATTGAGCGATGGGTGGAAAAGGTGAAAGGGATTGAGAAGTACAAATTGCGAGTTATAAAAATGGTCTCAGGCTGCAAAGGACAGCAAAGGACAGCAAAGGGACTACAGGAAATAATACTGTAATAACTCTGTATGCTATGGGATGGGTATTAGACTTATGGAGGTGATCACTTCATAAGGTACATAAATGTCTAATCACTATGCTTACTCCTGAAACAAATATCATATTGTATTCCACTATAATTAATACATAAGTTAATAAAAAAAAAAAAATCTGCCTTCTATATCACTCTGGAGATCTGCGTACTGGGTCGCAGGGTGAGGTGAGTCTGCGCCTCACTGGTTTGAATGGTGGTAAGAAGCCCCCTGGCTGGGCTGTGTGCTCGTGTGGACTATAACTTGGAATGGATTTGTAGTTAAAAGGTGGGGTTAACTGTGGCCAGAAGAACCAGCACCAACGGGAGGATTTACCTTTAGTGTGACCGTAAACACCATCACAGTGAACACCAGCGTCCCAAAGGTCCAGTTTCCGAATATCTGTGGGGACAGAGTCCAAGCAGTCTCTTGTTAATATACATTTTCTCCCTTTCACACTCAAAACGGGAGTGTTCAGAGGATACATCTCATTATTGCCCTGCACTAACACTTCACACCCCCAAGACACAGGGACTAGGTCTTGTTACTACAAAGTGAAAGGAGATGGCAGTGAACACCCGACCCTGGGCACTCAGCCCCCGGCTCCTCAGTGCCGAGAGGGATGTGACCAAGAGGTGGAAACAGCCCTTCCTACACGGACAGTCCTGTCACTCTGACACTGGCTCCCTCTGTGCTGTCAACACGCATCAGTCCTAACATCACAATCTGGGAGCAAGAAAACCACCGAAGAGCTGGTATTACATACGCACGATGCTAACTCTGGTTTTTCTGTTTCGAGTTTCATGTCGAAGCGACATTTACCTGATTATGCAGTTCTACGCCTTCTGTACGTTCAAGAATAAACTCAGTAGAGTTTCTGTCTATTCTCTTTTGGACTCTAGTCCGACACCTGCCTGCTTTGCAAGAAAAGCAAGTGCTGGAACATGTTACTAATAAGCAGAGAGAGAAAACAATCTCGTCACGTATGTGTGACACGTGGATGGGATTTCCTCGGGAAAATCGCAGGAAAAGGAGAAACGAGGCAGACAAGACAGAGTTGCGGGAAGGCCCCCTGCAGCCAGTCCGATGGTCAGAACCACAGACATTCAACAGTCCCTCAGAAGAGGCCACCGAGAGGCGAGAGCAGGGAGCAGGGCTCCAGGCACCCGAGGTCCCGGGCAGGGCCCCAGGGAATGGTGTGAGATGGAAGCACTCACGGGACACATCATGAAAACAACACATTCCCACCTACAGGCAAAGATACAAGCAAAATAAAACGCCTACTGCTTGAGACTTCTTTCCCTTATGGGGCACAATTTTATGAGTAAGTTTCCCCACTCCTGTCCTCCTTTAACAGAATGTAAAGCTTTATTTCACAACGAACTTAAAAAACTGGAATACAAACTGTCAACCTACACGTGACTTGATTCAGGTGAATGTGTAGCTACTCATCTTGTGAGACATCTAGTGAGATAAGTACTACTGGTAGAATTCCAGAAGAAAAACTAAGTAACGTGTTAGGACTTGTTGAAGTTAGGACTTCAGTACTCAGAGCTACACTCAACAGTGGCTCTCAGCGAGGAGGGGAGCGGGAATTCTGTCTCCAGGGGATACTTGTAGTGTTGGAAGATATTTTTGGTTGTCACCATGGAGGGATTGGGGGCGGGGGGAGTGGTGCTACAGGCATCTAGCAGGCAGAGGCCAGGGGTCTGCTAATTGTACCGGGCAACCCACAACCAAGAGCTCTCTGGTCCCACGTGGCAATAATGGTCAGGCTGGGAAACACTCAAAAATAAATGTTCTCCCTTCAATGCTTAACCTCCAAGACAGAAAAATTTTATAACTCTGAGTCTGGCTGCATTCTGGCAGAGGACTATAAAAATGCTTGGCCGAAACCAGTTTGGCTCAGCGGTAGAGCATCGTTCTGCGGACGGAAAGGTTCCAGGTTCGATTCTGATCAAGGGCATGTACATTGGTTGCGGGCACATCCCCAGTAGGGGTTGTGCAAGAGGCAGCTGGTCAGTGATTCTCTCTCATCGACGTTTCTAGCTCTCTATCTCTCTCTCCCTTCCTCTCTGTAAAAAATCAATAAAATATATATATATTTTTAAAAATGCTTGGCCAGCTGGGTGTTGGAGAGCAAATTGGCTGTTTTGTTTTCACTGGAGGCTGATGCTGTTAGCCAAAGTGAGGGATGAACCTGCTGTACTGGCAGTAAGGCTGCCACCCTGCCCTGTGCTCCATTTCCTTATACCCTACCCACTTGTTTGCCACCCCGGCTAGGTAGGAACTCATTTTAAAAAGTGTTCAATCATAGCCAATTGTGGAAATGGAGTCTGCACAGAGAGTGACAGGATATCTCCAACAGCATCACAAATCAGGGACAAGCTTTTAGCCACTCAAGTGACTTCTTTATTTCTCTCTCTCCAGAGGTAAGGAGGTACTTCTCTAGGGCACTGCCAGGTTTTCTTGTATTTACGGATTATGGTAAACCTGGGATCACAAATTAGGCATCCCGATGCCTACTCCAGTAAAACACATGGGCCTTAGCGGTCATGTCTACAAGTGAACAGCAACGAAGCACAACTACCTTGAACCCAGAACTGAAACTTTGGTTAGAACCCTGGGCAATGCTGGGAACTGCTCCACCCTCACCTAGGCTCCCTCACCTATGACCAGTGGTCAGCAGGCTCACGAGCCGTGGTTTGCCATTCTGTTGACTAATGAGTTTGCCGATCACTGGGATAGACAATCATGGTAATATCTCTATAAATTTCTCTGAATTTTCTTATTTAAGGGAGTCCTTAGGCTAACTGCTAACAGTCAATGTATTATTAAAATTGTTTGCCATTATGTTTATGGATTTTGTGGTGGGAGGTGGCATGGTTCACTGGGATACCAATCCCATTTCTCAAAGAACTGTCAGAGGGACCATCTTTTTACCAAGCTTCATTAGCTCCCATGGCCCCCATGAGTCTGATTTCCTAACTGTTATCGCCATTGAGAATGTCACTAACTTCATAGCCTCACTCAAATGATAATGAGAATTTTGTAATGAGAATGTCACTAACTTCATAGCCTCACTCAGATGATAATGAGAATGTCCCTGAAGCCTGCCCTCCACCAGATCTACATTTAATCCCTTCTCACACGTCTTCCTCTCTCTTCTGAAGATGGGTATTTTCCAGGAAATGTTCCTGCTTTTTAAAGCCCTAGGATCCAGACCAACTTAATTTTTATGCGTAAAAATATCCCACAACAAACCTGACTTGCATTTTTTTTTTTTTTTTTTTCAAGATCACAGCCACAAGAAACACCAACTACATTTCCTTCCTGCACAGATTCCGGATTGCTACCAAGTCTGCTGGCATCATTTGTCCTTGTTCCAATGGCTGGCGATGGTTCAAATTGCAGCTACCTGGATGCTTACTCATATTATACCACGCTCTAAACTTTCAAGTGTTCGCCTAGGAATTCCCTGCCATTCAACAATAATAATCATTGCCTTAGCATTCGCATTTGAGAAGTAATTATGGCTCATGACGTCTATGCTGAAAATGCCCCTAAGTGAATTTCCCTTTTGAAAAAGTTCTCCATGATTCAGTGTTCTCTCAATACTACATGTGTGCTATACACATTCCTATAAAATGATTTAGGTCTTTAAAAAAGTGGTCCTCCTCTACTGATAATAAAACAGGGCATCTAGTAATACCACCAAGAAGATGCATCCTCGTTTGTCAGGACACACCGTCAAAAAGCAATGAGCATTATCACCTCCACGCTGCCCTGCCATCTTAGAACCAAGGGCATTACCATCAGTCACCTGAGACTACCCGTGCTTACTGGCATTTTGCAGGTTTACTTGAATTACTACAGAACTAGCCTATGTCTCTACTTTTAGTTCTGCAAGTGATCTAACACTCTTCTCCCCCAAACAAACAAGAATTTAAGCATCAGCAATGCAGAATGAGAAAGGCTCTCTCTGGCGGTGTGTGTGTGGGGGGGAGGAGGGAGGTAGAAGTAGGGAGGATGTAGTAGGGAAAGAAGGTGTCTAGAGCTACAACAGCAGACATGCAGCCTTGGCCTTGCACTTGACCTGGAATGTCCTTGGGCTATGCCAATCTCTTGGAGCTCCTGTCCTCCTAGTGACACAGGGTAAGTGTCCACACTAGGTCCTTAACACCCTTGTCCCTCATAATTAGGGATGCTATATGAGTATTATTATTCTTGCTGTTACACTCTAGGTCCTTAGATTATTCAACTTCTATAGAGCATTAGTGAATTGGAGCTAATTTCGCCTCTAAAATGCATAACAATAGACAAACACCTCACATTAAATACCTTATTTGGCACCAACTGCCCCATGTACTGCTTCCTAATATCACCATGCAACTCAGAAGCTTTACATATGACAGGATGTGCATTATGTGTGTTCAATCTTTGTCGTGACAGGCCACTGAGCAGAGGACTCTCACAGCTCTTGGCTAATGAGTGGCAAGTCACCCACTAGGCATTTCTTAGTGGGAGTGGTACAGGTCAACTTGTGTTTCCTTTACCCTGATGTCCCTTTCTGTTATTGTTTCAAATTCAAACTAATAGTTCTGTCCAATAATGGCTTAGCAAAGACATGCAAGTGGTAATCATGGTAGATATAAAAGTGTTGCAGAAAAGCATCATTCTGGAAGTTGAGACAGTATTTAGGATCTGTAGGGGCTCAGGGCATCCTTAAGGAAATAGGAAATAGGAGATAAGTCAAGAATTGGTAGAAATCCTTGGATCACATGCAAGGCCTCAAAACACCACCGCATCCACTGACCCACAGCGGTATGAGGAGTGGCTGGTGGAATTTTGGTTGCAGACCTATCAGGGCTACTGGAACTTGAGCAGGAGGAGAAGATGCTGCTTAGACGTCACCTTGGCAAGGCCTCTCTATGGTCTATACTCCAAAGCTCCAGCACTCCCTACAGGTTCTTCAGGCATACCTATAATTTTACTGTGTGTATCACTGAGATTAAACAATTAAGCAGCAGCATGGACTATAACAAATACTATAACTTTGTACCAAATATCCTGGGTTTGAGTTCTAATTACCTGACTTTGTACAAATTCTTTAATCTGTCTCAAGTGTAGTTTCCTCAACTATGAATGAGTCCATGGGCGATGACAGTTGAGAGAGGATAAGATTTGTGAAAGTGAACTGCAAATAAAGTGCCTGATGAATGGCACTGACCGTGGTTGGCTACCACGGTCCTGGAATTTCAGTCCTCAGGACACAGCTTAGTCCCTTTTAAGATACATGCGAGATGCTTACTTAAAGCGTAACCCATAAGGACAATCTTATAAAAGAAACATAAAGAACAATAAGAAAGTTCTACTTAATGACATTTATGACCTGCTAGCATCCAGAAATTATCCAATTAAAATAAACTACGACAAAGAACAAATTCCAGAAAGATACAAAGTTTGTAGAAGAGTGAAAGAATTTTAAAAATTCTCAAGATCAATGTAGTAAAAACTGGTTTGTGTTATACTGAAAGATAACTGCGCCTTTTAGTAATGAGAAATGAGAAACAAACAAATGGGTAAACAAATTCCATGAGACCTGTAGCAAGACCTTTGGGTTTCAAGCCAACTGTTCTAAGAGATGAGCCACACAGGAGGACAACATAGGGAGAGGTGCTCTGTCAGGCAGGAAATGAAGCAAACGTCTGTTCACAAGCTACCCTTATTTACATCAACAACAGTGTTTATTTTTATGGCAAGGTAAATACGTAATATTCGGGTAGGGCACAATTCCTGACATGTGCTCCATGTCTTTTGCAATTGTCCCAGGTAGCATGGGTTTGCCACATTCAAAGCAGTGTCCCCAACAGGCCCCGCATGCCTGCATATGTTGCCTTTTAGTTAAGGTAAAGGGAAGCTCAAACAAGTCCATCTGAAAACCGTCACTGACTCAGTGATAATCCTGACACAGAAATCCAGAGATAAACACCAAGTACAAGTGATCAGATGTACACAGACTTCTCTAATACAACTTTCGTCTACAGGAAGGAGAGGGGAACAGCAGCTAGTAGTGTTTCTACTGACAAAGCACACGGAAGAAGTCACAATTTGAAAATATTTTCGAGAAATATTTTATCTAGAATGCACTCCAAAAACATATAGAGGACACACCCACAATTGTCTTACCATGTGTGTGTTGGTAGTCATTATCTGAGAGTGGGAAGGAAAGCAAGTCGCAAAAAGAAAAAAAATCAAGATACAAATAAAACAAACCCTAGAAATTATGCAACAACCAGAGAGCTGATGTCTATTATAAACTATTAATCTACTCATGGCAAAGGAAACAGACACTTAAGTGCACATGAAAAAATGGGGAAATGTGTTAAGTACAAAATAAAAACTAATTCCCATATTAAATAAGCCATGCTTGGTGGATCTAACTGAACCACTAGATAAATAACTGATGGTGAAATATAAATTACAGAAACAAAAGTCTGAAAACCCTCAGGAAGGGGATTTCCCACAGTCAGCTGAGCTATGCAGAGCAGTGCATTTACTGACGTACTATGTCCTGTAAGCGATTTGGTAGCTAGATACCCAAATATCAGGAGACCCCACAGACTGTGCTGAATGACTGCACTGACCACAGACTGAACACCAATCAAAGGTTATTCCCAGGCAGCCAAGCCAACAAGGCCCAGTTTGGTACTAACCTGCCCATTGCTGGACACAGTTGCATTTTCAAACATGAAGTAAGCACCAAAGAAAAATACCAGAGCGTCAAATACTCCTAAGAATGTCCAGTAAATGAACGCTCGCCAGCGGAGTAGAGCGTTCTTGGAGATATCTCTGTGGAAGGAAAACAGAACATAGTGGCTACATTCCATTAAAATGGGCCTCAGTATGGGAGTGGGGTGAGGGTGGGGGAGCAATGGTAAGATGTGTACACATATAATACCTTAATAATAAAAAATAAATAAAATGTGTCCACTAGGGGCCTCTAAGTCACTGGCGAAGGAAAACATCTGACAAAAATCACAACCAGGACACTGGCGTGGGCACTATCTACCCATCCTACTTGGGTGTCCCAGTTTTACAGACTCTCTCTGTGTTCTTTCTTACAACTACATGTGAATCTAAAATTTTCTGAAATACAGTAAGTTTAATTTAAAAAGCCATAAAAAAAAAACCAGTAACACATTGACATATGCCAGACATCCTGAAGTGCTGTCCTAAAATAGCAAACATAACTTCCTTGTTATTAAAACATACTTTTTAAAAGCAGAAAAGAACACACCAAAATCAGATCTGTTAACTTTCCCCATCCTCACTCAACAAAGCAGAGCATATGTGGTTTTTAAATAATAATAATTCAGGTCATAGATGCACTGGGATTTTAAGGGGATAGACATCCTTATCCCCAGTCCTTTCATATTTATTAAAAAAAATTAAAAATAAAAATAAAATAATAATTAAAAAAAGGTATGGTAAAGAAAACCCAATATGGCAAAATACGAACTGGCTTAATACATACATTTCAAATGCAACATAAATCTTCTATCTATTAGTAAATTTGAAGTTTAATCAGTCAAATTACATTGATTCTTGCTTGAGGACGCTGGTAAAAGCAAGTGCATCAGCTGATACTGCATATTTCTGGTTTTAAAGTAATTCAACCAGGCATTTATTTGGAGGCACCGCTCTCTGGCTGCTTCGTTATTCTCCAAGCTCTAAAGCAAGTGTGCCTGAGGCCCCATACCTGTAGAGGGTAGGGTCCCTCTTGAGTGTCTCCATGCTGATGTGCTGCTCCATCAGGCTGTACAAGAGAATCGGAAGGGAAGTGAAACTGATGTTGTACAGTGTCAGGTAGGTGGTGTCGTACAGCGTCTGCAGGAAGGAGAACAGCCACTGAAAACAGCACCTGTGCACCTTGTTCAACTTCTTCGATTGTTTGGTTAAACATATATTTTCAATTTGCAAAGAGTTAACACGAGCATTCTGAAAAACAGACAGAGCCTTCTTTCTACAGATTTAGAAGGGCTAGGACAATTTTCAAAGCTTCATGATGTCAATTAGTCAAGATTAAAATCATGGCTGAGAGAAGGCCCGACGATGACCCACCCCGTTTTGGCCACTACAAACTTGCAACAAAAAAAAGTTGCATGAAAGCTTGCTATTTGGATCACCATCTTCAAGCTTCAATTTCCCCCCGTGTCAGACCCTTCGGATGAAAGCAGGTGGCCACAGTCCATCTGAGCAGGACGGTAGAACAAGTGAGCGAGGGAAAGGAGGTGCTCTGACTGTCTCTTCTCCCGTCAGATGGCACGCACACCTCTGCCCGGCACTTGAAAGTGTTAGAAGCCAATGAATTGTGAGATACCAAGAAAGAATCTCAGATTTAGATTCAATCTGTTCAGAAAGCCCAACACAGCAAGCTCTCCTGGGCTTGGGGTAGGCAAGTTCTGGGCACATCCCTCACTGGGCCCACAGGAGAGCCTGCAGTCAGCAGACGTGGGCCCCTCCACGCCACTCCTTCTCTCCACCCGCTGATGGGCTGCTGAGGGCACTTAGGCCTCCCTCCCTCCCCATCCTGGCCTGCATGCCTCTGCTGTCTCCTCTCCCCTCACTGCAGCCACCCCGATGTGGGAGAGAGATAAGGCTCAGGGCAGTTTCTGACTTAAGACATTACGACTCACCTGCTGTGAAAATCCACAGAAGAACTGGTATAAAAACTGAGGGAAAATGAAGCAGACATTCTGAAAGACAAGTCACATGCCTGTTAGTCAAAGGGAACACTGCAAGAAGCATCTAACCTCCTCAGAGGTTTTCCACGTGACACCACTTTATCTGGGGAGTGACCCAAAGTGTCCTACGCTCTCATATAAGCAGGCAATGGCTTTACATTTCCCCCCCCTCTTTTTCAATATCACCTACAGTGCATAGGTGACCATGTTCTGGAAACTCTGAGAACAGATGATGTAAAAGCAAATTTGTTGAAGAGATAGAAGGGAGCAATGTAGGTGTCAGTGTAAACAGGAAACAGGAAAGAATTAAATTGCATAATGAATGAGGAATTAGTTCAAGGAATTATAAAAGAATGCCCCTTTCTCATTCATGGTATCTTCTTATTGATTCCACATGAAATTGTGTGAGTGGGAGAGAAGCGCTAGAATCAGCTTCTTCCTTGCTGACAATTACTTCCGTTTTTACATAAATCACCCCTTAAGGCACGTGTCTAATGTGTCATTCCATCGCATGTAGTATATTTCACCAAGACAGTGATAGGAGCAAGGAAGTACTTCCTACCTTATAAAAGAAGTATTGCACAAGCTCAGATATCCTAATGTAATAAAAATGCCCATGAACGAGCAGCATCTTCTTTAAATGCTTAAATTTAGGTATTGCATAGTCACTGTTCCTTGCAGCCTGACGACCTTCCTTTCCAATGACGCCTATAAGAAGGGAATAAATACACGCTTTCTCAACAACATGCAAGTAAAAATGGGAATAAGAAAATAAGGTTAGATACAACCGTGGCTGTGAGATTTCTCAACGATGAACGTACTAAATCTCAGACACTGCCCTAAATGTGTCATCTGAAGCCTATGATCTTGCCTTTGGCTGTATCCCCTTCTTGTTTAGCTGAAGTGATAAATCTCAGTCACCAAAATATGCAGGAAATCAAAAAACAAGAGGCTTACCTATGCCCACATGGGCCTCCAGGATCATGCTGACATCATTTGCGCCATCACCAATGGCTAATGTAATAGGGTGCTCTTTTGAAAATTTGATTAATTTAACAATCTGGAAAAGAAATACAGAACTGATCTTCTCTGTTTTACTTTTAACTAAGTATAAATAAGAAAGACATGTTAGGTAAGAAAAATGAAAAAATTATTTACTTAAGCAGGGGGTGGGGGACTTCTTTTCTGCCAAGGGCCATTTGGATATTATTTATAACATTATTTGTGGATCATACAAAATTATCAACTTAATAATTAGCCTGCTATATTTGGTCAAGCATCTAATTAACTCACCCCTAATGGCTTGGTGGGGCCAGACCAAATGATTTTGTGGGCCTTATACAACCCATGGGCCAGTTGTTCCCTGCTCCTGGCTTAAAGTAAGTGTATTACATTCGATTTACTTTATCCATATATGATATACTTCATATTGAAAGAAAAAATAAAGCAAAAGTAGATAAGGTTTGATTACAAATGAGATATGTAGGATATGGCTGGCTAACAAAATGAAGATAGACATAAAATAGATTAAGTAGTTTTCAGTTACAGCTACACTCACATATTTAAACAAAAGGGAAAGTATATGTAAATATAAAAAGAAAAATCTCAATGTTGTATTTTATTAGAAAATATTACTATTTGCTATCAAGCATCTACTTTTTAAAATAAGCAATTCTTATGCTATTTTAATTTTCAAACTTGTCATTGTGTAAAAACAAACCAATGCAATTAATAATTTCCAAATGTTTTAGGCAATTTCTTTATAATATATCAATTTTCCATTCATGTGTCTAAATGATGGTTTGAGATACAGAAGTTAGAAGATTAGGGGGGAAATGTGCAATAATCTATTTTATGTATATCTTCAGACTAAAACAAAAATTAATTTGTAAAAAAGTTTGTTAGACTCAGTTCAGAACTGCGTTTACGTATAGTACATATAAGGCTGACTTAAGAGAGGGGTAGGGAATAAAACCATTTTTTAACTTAGATAGAATGCATATGAGTTTTTGAGACTCAGCTTGTCCTCACAAAGAATTACCCAGGGAGGTCCAGTCCTATATTCTTAGTAATACCGCCCCTTAATAGATTGGTGAAGTGAAAGTGCAAGGACGCTAAACATGACCTCTTTGCACGTGGTTTTTAGGACTTTACCTTAACCCACTGGGTTAGTCTGAGCGGTAACAGTTTTCTTTCTATTCACAAGAAATTGGTCTAATGTATGTAAAATGTGGTTTAACAAAGTTGGAACTGTTGTAGTTCTATATCAGAAAGAGATCTATGTTCACATATGTATGCCATAATGTTTTAAAGAGTATTTTTTAAAAAAAAAATCAGTGTGTGTTTCCACAAGAATATGTTGCAGTGGGTAGAACATGAGTTTGGAATCCGACAAACGGGAAACTAAATTCTGGCTATAATTTTCCAAATACCTCCTTTTCGAGAAACCCCTGGTTTTCTGCACCTCAGGTACTTCCTTTGTAAAAGTAGGTTAACATCAGCCATCTATCAGGGTTAGCTTTCAGTATTTAAATACCCATCAACCACTAGCTAGTGATAAGTGACAGAGGCACGGACCTGGGCCTTCTGCAGGGGGGCCATCCGGCAGCACAGCACGGCGCTGCAGTTGCGGCAGATTTCAAGGAACCGTTCTCGGTAGTTGCTAGAGCTGCCATCCTCTCGGGGTTTCATTATTAAAGACAATGCAGCGCCATCAATAATTAAACCATAGTCTTGCATATCTGTGGAAAGTCTGTTAATGACACAAATCAGAGAAATTACTCAATAACTAAGTTTACAGATTTTAGAAGGCTACGTAACTTTCTTGAATATCTAGAGATGCTACAAATTCACCATCAAGGGATTTGGAGACTAGTACAGTCACTTGATGTTGTCAATAGATTCTGTGACTTTAAGCAAAACAATGTATAAGGAAACCGATTTTACCGAAGGCCAATGTACACAAGAGTTAAGTTCCCATGGCGTCTCATCAGTATTATAGCAAAACAGCATTGAACGAAATGATGTTTTTCAAGGACCTGCTATACAGTAACTCCCCCACCTTATCCTCGGAGAACACTTTCCAAGAGCCCTCGGGGGTTGCAGGTAGGACCGACCTATATACACTATGTTTTTCCCGATGCATACATATTTCTGATGAAGTTTAATTTATAAATGAGACGCAGTAAGAGACCAATCATAATTAATAATAAAATAGCACAACTATAATAATATACTGTAATAAAAGTTATCAGAACAGGGCCATTCTCTCTTGTGGATATAATGGACAGAGGGATGATTCACATTCCAGCTGAGGCGGAGCAGGACAGCTTGAGATTTCACCATGCTACTCAGAACAGTGCACAGTGAAAACCTGAGAATTACTTCTGGTGTTTTCCACTAATACTTACTGACCATGACCACAGGTAACTGAAACTGGGGAAATAGTTTCGTACTACTCATGAACAATTTAAAATTTGCATTTGATTAGAGAGCTGCTTTTGCTTTACCTACATTAATGACAACCTAAAATGATTCAAATAAAGTCTATTCTTAGATCATGCAAGTAACACCAGCAAGGACAACATTTATAAAATGTATCAGAATAAATTCTGAGTATTCTTGGAAAAAACAACTCTGGAGCATATATAGTTTTATCTTAACAGACAAGCAACCATGTATTATTAATACTTCCTTCCCTGGTCTGGCAAATGCTCTGAGGAATCCAAAGTAATGCCTGTTCTCCCCACCCCCTACCCCAAGTGTCTTAGAAATGAGAATGCAGCCGGTGTGGCTCAGTAGTTGAGGAACAACCCATAAACTAAGAGGTCATGGTTAAATTCCCAGTCAGGGCACATGCATGGGTTTCAGGATCCATCCCAAGTAGGGGGCATGTAGGAGGCAACCGACCAATGATTCTCATCATTGATGTTTCTCTTGCTCTCTACCTCTCCCTTCTTCTCTCTGAAATCAATAAAAACATATTTGTTGCCGAAACCGGTTTGGCTCAGTGGTAGAGCGTCGGTCAGCGGACTGAAGGGTCCCAGGTTCTATTCCGGTCAAGGGCATGTACATTGGTTGCGGGCACATCCCCAGTAGGGGGCGTGCAGGAGGCAGCTAGTTGATGTTTCTCTCTCATCGACGTTTCTAGCTCTCTATCACTCTTCCTTCCTCTCTGTGAAAAATCAATAAAATATATATTTTAAAAAATATTTGTTTTAAAAAGACACATGAAAATGATCATATTCATAATGTTTTATAAATCAATCAATCAAGTCTTTTTGTATCCTTTAACCAGCAGTGTTAAAGTACACACACACACACACCCTCTCTTATGCACACCCTCTGTGTACAAAGACACGTTACAGTTGCTAAAAAGAAATAGCTCTGCTTTTGTTTCAGGTGGTCCCTCTAACCACGCTGATGCTGTTACTGATGGGAAGGCAGAACCACGTTCCCAGCAAGGGTGTTGAGGCTCTCCCCTTGCAAACGGAGGTCACCTACCCTGAGAGGTTGTCCCTGGTTAAGCTGCCATTCTGGCGCAGGACCGTTTTACTCAGCTCAAACAGGACATCATGTAAACTCTGCTCCTCGATTTTCTTGGTGGTGAGTTCAAGCAGCTGTGTGTTCCTCCTGAAGAGTTTGCAGGCATAGCAGGTGGCTGCTGCCGTCTCCATCTTGTCCCCGGTGAGCACCCAGACTTTGATGCCGGCCTTCTGCAGAGCTTCTATGGTGTCAGCAGCTTTCTCCTGGAGCCTAGAACCCAAAAAACGAAACAACAAACACCAGGGCTGACAAAGGCAGATCAAAACAAACCATTTCAGAAACTTGTGACCTATTAAAATATTTTAATAGGCCTTCAGAATTAAAAAGCTCTGTAGTGCCCTGGCTGGTTTGGCTCAGTGGACAGAGCATCGGCCTGTGAACTGAAGGCCTTTACGGGAAATAAAAACTCAGTAAACTTATGAAACTTCTACACCTTCTTTTACATTGGAGTATTTTTTCTTTTCCATTTTTATTCTGTTCTCAGCGGGCCCTTGGCCATTTCTTAGTGCATTAATAAGCCTTAAGTAACTTTTAGCTCTTGTTTCAGACTTGTCACAAATTAGAGGCTCTTTCTTTAGAAGCATTTGAAAACCTGTCATGCCGAAACCGGTTTGGCTCAGTGGATAGAGCATCGGCCTGCGTACTGAAAGGTCCCAGGTTCGATTCCGGTCAAGGGCATATACGTTGGTTGCTGGCACATCCCCAACAGGGGGTGTGCAAGAGGCAGCTAATCGGTGATTCTCTCTCATTGAAGTTTCTAACTCTCTCTTCCTCTCTGTAAAAAATCAATAAAATATATTTAAAAAAAAAAAAAAAAAAAAAAAAAAAAGAGCAGAAACCGGTTTGGCTCAGCGGTAGAGCGTCGGTCTGCAGAGTGAAAGGTCCCAGATTCGATTCCGGTCAGGGGCATATGTACGTTGGTTGCGGGCACATCCCCGGTAGGGGGTGTGCAAGAGGCAGCTGGTCAATGTTTCTCTCTCATCGACATTTCTAGCTCTCTCTCTCTCTCCCTTCCTCTCTGTAAAGAATCAATAAAATATATTAAAAAAGAAAAGAAAAGAAAACCTGTCTAATTTTACCATTTCTTATATTATTTGCAATATTCCATTTGATTACATTGAGCATGTAATCAAGTGTATTTGATCACATCTGTATTTGGAAAGAACTAGTAACAAATTTAGACACGTTATTGATTCAATTCTAAAGAATAATTTTAAAAAATAGCCCTGTAAGATATCTTGACTATGCAGAACATAATTCAAAAAATGCTGACTATTTCTGGTTTCTTCTGGGAAAGTGTGAATTCAAGGAATCTTATTCAAGGAAAGTAAAACATCACCTCGTCATGAGTTGCCTGTGATAGCATCTCCCCCGATCCTCGGCCCTCCATCCCCACATGCAGTCAGACAGCCTGTCTCTTCTGACCTGTGAACATGTGCCTTCCGTGCGGCTGACACTTTCCTCTGAAGCACCCGTGTGGCATCATGCTTTATTTCTGGAGATGGCACAGTGTTTACTTACTGATCCTCAACGGCGGTAGCACCAAGCAGAATAAGATCTTTCTCTATGTGTTCATAGGCTTCTGCTAATTTCTTATCTCGATCTTGAAGGGCCATCTTGCAAGTATCTAGCAATTTACGAATGCCTTCATATTCTTCTGCGCTGAGCCTTTTGTATGCGACGCACAGAGTCCGAAGCCCCTCCTGTGGGAGACAATACATTTCATGTGAATTCCAGGGTCACTGTGCCAAAACATTATGTTTCAATAGCTTTCTCAATATTTCCTTTCTTTAATTCAAATTACTAACCAAAGAATTCTGAAATAACCAACCCTTAAATGGGTTGACCATTTACAACTGCGTAATTCACATCTATATCAAATATAATCATTACAAATTACAGAAAAAATTCAAACTAGTAAGCATGGGAATAAATAATAAAACCAGGGCCATCCAAAGATAAGACTTTGTTCTTTTATTTTGGAAAACGAGAGGCCTCGTGCATGAAATTCATGCTAGGGGTCAGGGGAGATCCCCCAGCCTGGCCTGCACCCTCTTCAATTTGGGATTCCTCTCACAATCTGGAACCATTGGCTTCTAATTGCTCACCTGCCTGCCTGCCTGCCTGAAGCCCCTAACTGCTCCCCTGCTGGCCCTAACTGCTCTTCCCTGCCAGCCTGATCCCTCAACTGCTTATCTGTGCTTCCCTCCTAGCTGATCCCCCTGCCTATCTGTTCTCCTTTCCTGAACTAACCCCCCTAACTGCCTATCTGCTCTCCCTTCCTCTTTGCGCCTTTGTCCTTCGGACCCCAGCACAGTCTTGCTGAGAGCTCTCCACCATGGCCTCGCCCCAGTCTTGATTAGTCATTACATGACAGCATCCTGGCCAATTTGCATATTCCTCTATTATTAGTATAGATGAAGAGATAAACTTTTTTTAGGGTATTAACTTGCAATTCTATGGTGAATACCAAGTGATATTTCTAAAGTAAACATTTTTTACATGGGAGTTTGTAATTCCATTTGATCCACTTGCCGAAGGAAGCGGCTAGGCTATGTATCAAACCCATTTTGTCCACAGAAGAGTGAAATAAGAATTTAGGAATAACAAACTCTCAGCTGTGATCATAATTCTGGGCGTCACCACACACAGGGAATGAACACACCACCCCAGCTAGCGAGGCACATGTAAGTTGGGCTCTCAGAGCTGAGGCCACACACAGAACACTGGATTCCATCAATGTGCTAGTGTGGGGCTTTCACAGCAGGAATGTGCCTGTCTCTTCCTCTCTGTCTGGCAGGATGGCTACAGGGAGTTGGTCTTCTGCCCCTCCAAGAGAACGTTAGCGGATTTCCAGGAGCTGAGAGAAGGCACATGGTATAATTTGAAAGAAGTGAGTGTGTGCCCCTGTGCACTGTGGGTACACAGAATGACTGATGAAAAGTTTAATGTCAGAAAGCCAAGTTATCAGAATTGAGACAAAAGTTTAAAACCAGTTATAAGGGAAAGGGACCATCTGGTTAAGAAATGGGCCCCAGAGGGGAAAGTCCTGTACCCTTCTCTGCAGGAGGCCCTAAGGCAGGAGACATAATGCCATAATGGTACGCCATGGGAACACTGAGATTTAAAGTCTGGGTTTTCCTGTTGTCCAGGCAGCACTGTTTGGATAGAAGACACTGAATTCCATTTTGGTCCCATGAACTTCCTTTCATTCAGATATGACTTGCGTCTGAAGGAGTGGGAGGGGGTGCACGGGAGAACTCGGGGGCAGAGAACATCCTCTCCCCTGTCCTGGACACAGACCTCAGGGTTCAGCAACAAGCATCCTGTCCAGAGCCTATCCTACTGGCTTGTGTGGTTATCAGTGTGAGTGTGGGAAAAGGCCTCGCTGTCATTTCAGATATGGTTTTGAATTGACTTGCAGACGGGGTGACCCCTCAGGGGTAACCTCACACACCCTGTATTAAAGCTCATCGTCTGTAAGTGGACATCCAGCTCATGTACACGTAAGTGCTTTAAAGAAGTCCTTCATCGTCTATTCCAACAGGCTCACCTCGGTGGGTAGGAGAAATCTGTGCCATTGTTATTTTCACGATCCCGAACACAAAAGGTCCCATCATCTTAAACCTGCAGCTTATTTACTGATTTCTGCTGGTTCCGTGGCAGCTGCTTTGGTGGACCAGTAGGTGTTACTAGGCGCTTTAATACGAAGTGGAAGCCAAAGGGTTTGCACTTGGCAGCCACATTTAACAGAGTTTACCACTGCAGCAGCAGCTGCAGGCGTGCATGGTCTCAGTGGAAGAAGGATGCTTCTCGGACAATATACACATTTAATGCCACAATATTTAGAGTCAAGCAAGGGGAGTGTGTCTATGAAGAGCCACACATCCTTGGCTCACAGTCTGATGTGGAGGGGAGGAGGGTGGACCTCTATCAGAGATGCACAGCTTTCCCCACACCCACAGCAGTCCTTGGAGAGAGGGACCTGGAGCCTGGGGTGTGGGTGGGGGGTAAAGGGTCAGGGGGAGCTCGAAAGCTCAGAGTTGCTGACAAACGGAACAATATTGCTGAATTTATAGGACAGACTATACTTCAGAATGAGAGGTGGGAAGAAGACCAAACAGGTGAAGACACATGAAAGCCTAAGAGCCGACTGATTTTTGGAAAAGGAATCATTAGAAATTGTTCAGCATAAAGATCTACTTTCTCCAATATAATCACCGCAAATGTGCTTAGAATGTGGACCCCACAATCATCTACCAATCAACCCAGCCCCCACCTCAAAATAAAAGGAGATATGCAACAGGTTTCTGAGTCCACCTGCTGGGGGTGGTACCCAGGTCGAACACCACCGGTGTGGAAATCACCGGGGGATTTTCCAGGTTGTGCACACGTGGTCTATTCTGACTGTAAGTGCGTCCCTTAAAGCCACGTGGCATCCTCAGTTAGGAGTCTTTCCTTCCTGGCCCGGGAGAACCGTGGGACCCGTGCCCCAGAGCCTCCCATCTCACCACAGCATTGCGCTCCACTCTGGCTCGGATCTGATCCACTTTGCCTTCGATGACTCGGGGAAATATTGAAGAATCTGCTCCTTTGCAGAAGAGAAAAATTTCTTCTAGAAAATGAGAATAAAAAAATTAGAAAGACTAAGTTAGTGTTTATATTATGCTACTAAGAAATAAAAACAGGGATACACCAAAATCGGTTTGGCTCAGTGGGTAGAGCGTTGGCCTGTGGACTGAAAGGTCCAGGTTTGATTCCGGTCAAGGGCATGTACCTTGCTTGCGGGCACATCCCCAGTAGGGGATGTGCAAGAGGCAGCTGATCAATGATTCTCTCTCATTTGATGTTTCTAGCTCTCTCTCTCTCTCTCCCTTCCTCTCTGAAAAAAATCAATAAAATATATATTAAAAAAAACAACAACACAAGGATACCAGTGCTGAGATTGTGGTAAAGGAGATTTCAATCGTTCAGTTACCATGAAAAGTCAGGAAAAAAATTAAATCTACGGGTCACCCCAGAGCCTCATTTTATCCTTACAATCCCAGAAACCTCCTAGGAAAGCCACAAACAAGGAAAACAAGTAGTTCCGGGGTGTCCTGCCTTCTGTCACTCTGCCTTCTCTCGGGTTAGGATGTGAGTGAGCAATGAAATGACCCTGGGACCAGGAGGGGTAAGGAAATGAAGGGTGTGGCTGACCCAGAAGTGGGGATAACAATTTGTGAAATGCTAGGAGGTAAACATCAAATCCCAGTGGAACGCAATGCACTTTGACGTAGAACATGGCATCTGAGTCACCATCAACCAGAGTTACAAGAAATATGTGTTTTATCATTGTGGCCACCTTTCAAATAATGTCCCAGTTACTACGCACATATTTGTACTGTAGATACCTGCTTCTTGTCCCTCAAGATAAAACGATTTTCTCTTCCAGAGAAGTAGAGACCCCACCTGTGCACAAATTGTGCACTGGGCCTCTAGTTAAAAATACAGCACAATTTATGTGCATACAAGTCTTGAAATTAAGCCAAGGGTAATGTCACGCTTTGGCCAGAAAGGATGAGTCTGGTGATGTCTGTGTTGCCAGCACATGACCTGAACTGTGGCTGAGCAGAGGCTGGGACAGACCTGGGAGCATGGCCAGCCTCATGGAGCAGGAATCCACCAGAGCAGGAAGTCCCATCCCTAGAAGACGCCAACGTGACCGCCCAGGTCTGTGACCTGGGATTCTTAGTCACATAGCAACCACCTGAAGTCAGAATCCATTCCCGTCTGCCAGACAATTTCTAGCCAATGTTCCTATGTCATCAGATACAGTTTGGAACAAGAACTATAGTACAGATGACATGATGATACATCCTTAAACAACAATACATTTCTTTTTTCTAGGAAAATCATGGGTGACTCATAATAATGGCTTGTAAAAGGCTTAAATTCTTTACTGTCTCAATGTGTCGATTCCTCTATGCCCACTTTGGACATGGGACAAGTTCGGTCTTAAGATCTGGGTGAGGAGAGACTTGGATACAAAAATATCCACAATATAAAGCAAAATATCATCTTCAAAGGCAAGAGCAGACACTATTTGGCACCAGCTTTAGATCTTCTTTTCTAAGTTTGTAAGCAAGCAGGCAGCTACTAACCCAGAGCGCTGCACACACAGGTGATAAGATAAAGCAGCACACAAGTGAGGTGACCCTAACCTGCAGCAGCTCACACAGGTGACCTGATGCTACGCTACAGAAGAGCATGCTGTGGGTCCGAGCTCAGCTCTGACGGCTGTAGCTCACTTCTCAGTGGAGAGCTCGCAGCAAGAAATTCAAGTTGTTAACTGGCTGTCTGGCCTATAGTCTCCAGTCTCCCCTAATGGAGTCAAGGGTCCATTAAGTTGTAAAACCAGTGCAATCAGTGTCATCTCCAGGGATGTTACTACTTAGAGAACAACTTGTTGAATTAAATATTCAAACTTCTCTTACAATGAATTGATGCAGGGACCAGGTCAGATGGCATGAGAAATCTAGCTTCTAAGCCCACAGTTCCTCAAAGATACCTTTGGAAATATATAGATATCTCCTGGAAGAGATATTCTAATGACATGGATGCCTTGGGCATACATTCTTTTTTTTTTTTTTAATATATTTTATTGATTTTGTACAGAGAGGAAGGGAGAGAGATACAGAGTTAGAAACATCGATGAGAGAGAGTCATCGATCAGCTGCCTCTTGCACACGCCCTACTGGGGATATGCCCACAACCAAGGTACAAGCCCTTGACCAGAATCGAACCCGGGACCTTTCAGTCCCCAAGACGATGCTCTATCCATTGAGCCAAACCGGTTTCGGCATGGGCATACATTCTTAATGTGACCTCGCCCCTTTTCAAGTGATGCCCTTTTTGATGGTAAAAGGAAGTTGTTAAGGAAGATTCCGCGGCACATCCCGTGGCTACCAGCACTGTGACCAAGCAGTTCAGGGGACTGCATAGGTGGGGCAGGAGACGGTTTATGGATAACGAATGCTTCCTGATACTGTGATCATTACTGCAGGCTCAGGGCTGCTGCATGATCAGCTCCTAGACTTCACATTTGTAAGGGGGAAAATATCAAGACAGAAAGATTTGCACAATGCAATGCCTTTCTTTGGGGAAAATTTGAACGGCTTAAACTCACAGGAGAGTCCTTCATTTGTGCACAGCGAAATAACCTTCTGCAGTTGGGCAAGTGTTAGCACATTGACCTGAACTGTTTCAAACACCATGGTGTGTATGCTTCTCATGTCCTGATAATCCTACTTGTAAAATCTCTGCTTCCTTGTATGAGCAGTGTTCCTATTATAAACTATTTTATGTCCCATGATATTTAGGGCAAATCTCACTGGTAGAACCCACTCTTATCCATGTAGGATAAGCTGGTTCAGAGGAGAGGGAAGCATGTGAATAAAAGACCCAGCTTTAGCCCGGCTGGCGTAGCTCAGTGGTTGAGCATCAACCTATGAACCAGGAGGCCATGGTTAGATTCCCAGTCAGGACACATGCATGGGTTGCAGGCTCAATTCCTAGCAGGAAGTGTGCAGGAGGCAGCTGATCAATGATTCTCATCATTGATGTTTCTATCTCTCTCTCCCTCTTCCTCTCTGAAATCAATAAAAGTAAATTATGAGAGAGAGAGAAAGAGAGATAGATACAGCTCTATGACAGCCAGCTCAGCTCCCAAGGCAGCCGGGGCATTGCCACCAGCACATGGAACTCCACTCTAAAAAATAACACACAGGGCAAAGATATGTCTTTAGCAACCTCCATGGTCTTAGAGGAGAAAACAAGGTATTGCTGGTTCTATCAGAAAAAAAGTCAGAATGGCTCTGTTTAATGAAAGGTACTTTGTGTATTTACTCCCCATTGAAATGAAATGTTAGATAAGGACCGACATAAAATTCCCCAGCATGCCCTCAGAGCACTATTTTAGGCTGAGTCTGTTTAGTTCCAGGGAAGTGACTGCGTTTGGTTGCTCACCAGGCAACTTTGCAAAGAGATAAACATAGCCTGGTATTGCCTAGTTTTAAGAAACAGAATAGAACAAGATCCCACATCTCATGATAAAATGAATTTTGAAGGTGCATTCGTAAATTGAACTTAGCAGTATTTATTGAGCAGTCACTGGTAGTGTTGTGGTGGATATACTGCTGAGAAAAGCATAGGTTCTGCATTTAGGATGCTTGTAGTCCAGCCAGGTCAGAAGGCACACAGCTCATCTGACTGAGGCAACCAGCACAGGCTTCCTACCAGGTGGCTGTTGAGCTGTCCTTGGAACAGAACCAATGAGCCAGCGGGCTTCTAAGTGTAAAAGTCCCTACCAGGTGGAGAACTTTAGGTAGAAAAGCCCACACTAGGTAGAGAGCCTCCCAGTGAAAAAGTCCATTCTGAGCACTTTCTGAGGCTGCTGGGAATGAAAGCTAGGAAGACAGCTCAGGGCTTCCATGAAAAAACCCTGGGAAGGTGTGGCGGCCTGACCCCGAACAGGAGCCACCAGGCCCCACCAGGACAGTGAGCGCTCCAGGGCCCTAAGAAGACCGACAGGATGGCAGGATGATAGAAAGGCAGAGACTGCGATGATGGAGATCTTGGAAAGCAGGTGCTGTGTGAGAGGACTGAATGGGGGTGGGGGGTGGGGGGGGGGAGAAAAAGACACTTTGGAGAGAGCTCTGCAGGCCCTGTAAGTCAGCCTAAAGTGCCTGGGAGAGACACAGGAACAAAAGCACCTGAGGCACGAGTCACCTGCAGTGGGTGTGAGGGGCTGTGCAACCTACAGTTGTTTCATCTATGTGTGTGTTTGTTTTTTTTAAAAAAGAGAATAGTTAAATCTTTAAAGCTCCTGAAGAATGTGAGCATCAGAAAAACCCTCAGCACATTGTATAATTTAAGACATCAAAGAAAAAGAAATTCCTACCTGTATCAGATTTTACAATTACACTCATTCTCCTTCTTACTGAGTCAAAACTCAAAACTTCCAGCAATTCAAACCTGAAAAATAGATGAAAAAATGTCTTTAGTGCCCATCTGGAATGTCTGGGGCAGGCCTCTCCCCACCACGCCCTGGCCTTTGAAAACATCACCTCCATCCATGCCCCGCCCCACCTCTGCCTGGGGGAGCACAGCTGACAGCAGCTGGGGTGGGGGGAGGGAATGGGAGAGAATTTGGAGGTAGGGCAGTTTCCTCCAGACACACTGGAATGTCTGGATTCGTGTGACTGGTGATCTGGCTCCACTACTGTCACCAGTGCCCTTTGGGGACAGAGGGTGGCTAGGGCTAGGCTCTTATCTCCTCACACTATGATCCTGGCCTCGTACATCCTCCCACCCCAGCCTGCATTACAGATGCTCATGGAGTTTGTGCATCAAAAGAACTATCTATCTTTTGCACTGATTCACCTTCCTAAATTCTGTTGAGCACAGTTCCACAGGTTGTATAAGAGCTTTTTAAAAAAAAAAAAAAATTAATTTACTGATTAAGGTATCACATATTTGTCCTCAATCCCCCATTCTAATCCCCCTTCCACTCATGCCCGCACCCCCCTATTGTACTTGACCACTGGTTAGGCTCATATGTGTGCACTTAAGTCCTTTGGTTGATCTCTCCCTTTTATCCCCATCCTCCCACTGAGGTCCAACAGTCTGACCCTTGAGAATAAACCAGTGTCCTTTCAATTGATAAAAGTCATCAGAAGACTTCTGTCTGAAGTTTGAAATGTTGAAAATAGCCGAGCCACCTCTGACATTACCTCTGAAAACTCCTTAGGGTCTAGATTCCAGCTAGGGCTCAGAAGTGACTGTGAAACTTCTGTGATGTCATCCCCGCTCACAAACTGAGGAAGGGGTTCAGAACTGGCCTCCCCAAGAGGTGGCACTTTGGCAGGTGGGTGGATTATTTTGAGCTGAAGAAAAACTAGATGTTGCAGAGAAACTTTTATCTCTCCCTTAAATAAATTAAATTAGGGGCCTTGCCCATAATAAGAGCTATCAGCAGCCCTGACCAGGTGGCTCAGTCGGTTGAAGTGTTGTCCCATACACCAAAAGGTTGTAGGTTCGAATATGAATCAGGGCATATACAGGTGCAAACAGGAGGCAACCAATCGATGTTTTTCTCACACACTGATTTCTCTCTCTCTCTCTCTCTCTCTCTCTCTCTCTCTCTCTCTCTCGCTCAAAATCAATGAAAACAAGGATTAAAAAAAAATAAGAGCTATCACCAGAGATAACATTTTTTTTAAATCTATTTCTATGGCAAGGTAAACATCTAGTTACTGAATCCCTGCTCTTCTTATCATCCTGCGAATGAGCTCCCCTCTGAAGTCCCAGGGCAGGGCTGGGGAACCTTTTTTCTGCCAAGGTAATTTATAACCTCATTCTCAGGCCATACAACACTATCAGCTTAAAAATTAGCCCGCTATATTTGGTCAAACATTTAATTGACTCACACCTAGTGCCTTGGAAAACTATTCTTACCTTTCAATGTGATCATCCCTGTTTAATATCTCCATGTAGTTATCCCTTAGCCGCAGGTATGTAAAACCAAGTCTGTAAAGGAGAAGGCAAACCCAGTGGTTAACTTGAAATTTTGATATTCCTCTTTCAATAAAATATTTCTGTTTTACATTCTGGTAAAGTTTTCTTTTCAAAAAAGAAATACTCCTGGTAAAACAGAAGAAGTAAACTGAATTATAAACTTAGGAAATTATAATACTGAACTTATTCACTACCTCACAAAAATTCTCTAAGGACCAAGTGAATTTCTGACTTACTCTCCGAAGCACCACAGGGGTGAGGTCCATTTTACTGGTTGGCATTAACAGGTTTCAGAAAGAAAGCAGGTGTGTGGAGTGGTCCCTGTCTATACTGACCCAGGTTTACTCACTGATAAGTGAGGTTGTTCAGTAGAGGTTACACATCACGATAAGAAGGACCCTGAGAGACTGTCATCCTCCAGGCCAACTCTCACTTAACTGATGAGGACACTAGCTCTACAGCAGGCTGCCAGTCAACAACATCTGCAGAGCCCTTCATCTAACCCTCCTTCTCTATGTAGAGCCATGCTGTTAGGCACATGCCTGGAGTGGGGGCAGGAAGAGGGAGTGGCTTCTGGACTCCAGGAGCTTACAGCGGTGGGAGGTGAAAGGAATCAACCTAACGACAGCATGGAGCCATAATGGTAGGAAGGCACCATTGGACCTTGGGACCCTACGCAGGCAAGAGCTGGGGATGGGTCAGGGGGAGGGGCAACTGAAGGAATGACTTCTGGGAAGATGAGTCTAGAACGACAGGCAGGAGCAGCCTGTCCTTACTTCTGGTATCAATGACTAAATGTGGCTTCATTTCTGAACACACATTTTCCGAGAGAAATCTAGCTTTGAGAAGTATCCTATACATACCTATGGATTTATACACTTAATAATTGACACGATTTACATACTTACATCACTATTCAAACTGCAGGGGAAACATACACTAGTTTAGTCAACAATAAAAACACTCTTCTAATTAGAGGAGAGGTGTTCAACACCCACTTATCGATGGCAGCAAAGAGGGGAGATTAGTACCATTCGTGTTAAATTTGAATTGTAAGCTGTGATCTTTAGAAGAATGTTTCCCTTGACCTGAAATGATGCCAGATATCTGGAATATCTGAAGTACTTTTCCAAGTATTTGCTTAAATGTTGTATGTCATGAGGCAGCACACACTCCCAATAAAATGATACCGAAGGAGGATGCAAGAAGCACACAGACTTAATACAAAAGGATACGGAGATGAGGGAAGCTGCCGGTAAGGAAAACCCCAGCACCCCAGCTTAATCCCTCTTCCTGCTGTGTGACTTTGGGAAGGCTGCTTGACATCTCTGGGCATCAGTTCTTTAGGACGGATGAGGAAGACTTCATGAGGGTGCCTAAGGTTGCTTGCATCATTAAAGCCTGTGGTTAATTGGAAAGGCCTCTAACCTTCTTACTGAAGAAGCGAGGAGGAAAAGCTACACATGTAAGACAGTGACAAACACTGGCAGCTGTGACCAAGATGCTTCTCACGCTGACGGCAGGTTGTGGAGGTCCAGGGGACACTGGGCACAAAGGCAGTACCTGCTCAGCTCACCCCTCAGGAAGCCTCCCAAGCACAGGGGCCTGACTCAGGACAGGCCCAGTGTGAGTCCAGGAGGAGTACATGATTGGGGTGGAAAAGAACTCCAGGGCCGGCTCAGCACACCCTTCACAGCTGCGACCAGACTCGCGTGCAGCCAGAGACGTACCTCTGGACACCCTCCACTAAGGCCACCTCGTCGGGGGAGGACGATATGTACACACAGGATTTCGCCGAGTCAGGTGACTTCCTGGAGCCGTCCACGTCGTCAAAGTCATCCTTCACCTGGATGGTGTGGCACAGGCAGAGGGCCCGGAAAAACAGCTCTTCGCGCTCCTATAGAAACGCAGGACAGAAACGCACACACTTATGGCATATCGGCTTAAAGGAGGAGGAAGCCAAACAGAAGACAATAAACAATAAGGCAGGACATGCAACTCTTAAGGGTTAAGGAAAATTAGTTTTGCCTCTGGTGGTCAGAAGGTAGAGTGAAACTGTGGCCTTTGTTCATTCTTGAGCACTTCTGCAGTAGCTATAATACGATCAAGATCAATGGGCTATGAAGACGGAAATGTAGTGAGAGGAGGCGACAGGTTCAAGGTCACAAGAGAACACGGCCGGGCGGAGCCTTGGGCCAGTGGAGGCTGCACTGCAGGGCATCTAGGAACCTGGGTTCCCTGGGGTTCTGAGATGCCACAGTGGCTGAGGGAGGCCAAGGAGGGCTGGACCTGTATCACATGTGCTAGGCAGGGGAGTTCCAGCAGATGGCCAGAGGGTGCCATGCCTGTGGAGCACCTCATGAAAGCCATAGACCTGTCCTCTCCTCTCAGACTGGGTGAAATCATTTGAAGCACGTGTGTTTGTGTGGTGTGTGTGTGTGTGTGTGTTGGGGGGTTGGGGGGGTTCGCTTGGTCACAACAGGCAGTCAGAGTCCAGCCCATTAAGGCAGCCATCCTTGGTCCCTTAGGGGACACCACACAGGACTATGCGGTCACCAAGCATTCTGGAATGGTCTCCTGGCTGACCACTGCTAAGGGTCATGGCTGCCTCCTAGAAATGATGAGATCTGAAGCCACCGCATTTGGTGTGTGTGTGTGTGTGTGTGTGTGTGTGTGCATTGTGTGTGTGGCCTATATCTATGTGCACACATATGAAGATATGTGCACGGGGTATATCTACATGTTCATGGTCTGTAAGTACATCATGTGTGAGTGTGGGGCATGAGTCTCTGTGTGCATGTCAATGTGCATATATGTTCATGTAAGCTCACATACATGTGCATGTGGGTTTGGGTGCAAGTACGAGCACATGTATAGTACAATCACATGTGGTATGCAGGTCATTTTGCTCATAGCTGACCGTTTTCCTGCTCGTGTACATTCTTAAAGCTGTTCCTAATGTGACGTGACTGGCCAGGTTAACTGGTGGGAAATGGTGGCACCTTACCATTCTTCTCACTCAAGTCGCAGGAAGATTCATGTCCTTCCTGGATCCCAGAAGCAGAGGGGATACCAGGCTACTTTCTGACCTGAGACCACATGACAGTGTTGGTCCCAAAGGGCAAACACCTACCCTCCCACAGACCCCTGGAGAGGAGTCGATCATGTCGATGCCGGTGGCGCCGGGGAGGACCTGCCCGTTGCAGATGGCGTGCGGCACGTAGACGTGGCCCTCGATGCAGCACTCCTTGAACTCCATGTTGTTCTCGGTGAGAGTGCCCGTCTTGTCGGTGAAGATGTACTCCACCTGCGGGCACAAGGCGTGGCTGGGGTGCTGGCTCCAGTCCACACGCCCCTCTCCGAGGGGAGAAGGAGCAGCAGGCTGCCTCAGACCCCCGGCAGCTGTGATTCCTGACGTCAGTGTTTTACCCCAAACCTACCCCTTCACCAGGCACCTGACTTCTTTCAACGCGAGCATACACACTAACAATGAATATCTCACCACGCTCCCTTCCCTACAACAAGCCTCTCCACCGACCTCTGGAGCTCCTGTGTCAGAGAGTCGTTCTTTGCCTTACTCTGAGGCAGAATAATTTGCTGCACTGAACATAACTCTCCGTTTATCTTGTTACAGAAAAAAAATTCTTTCCTCCAGGAATTTCTCTGGAATGTATAATACAATATATACCATTTACTATTGCAAAGGGAATGAACTCCATGGAGGTGATGATATTCTAATACTGAGCCACCAACTTACAATTTGCACACGGCTGACTGGGACGGTACCCCACAAGGGGTGTAGAGTGTCTCAGAGGAATGATTTGAAAGTCAAAGTCATGAACAAGCAAAATATCGTTTAGTAACAAGTATCCTTGCCCCGAGGAGGTGAAGCAATATACAGCTACCAGTGTCTAACCATAAGGAAGTGAATTTCAGCTACTAGTTGAAAATAGCTGTTTACAAAAAAAAAAAAAAAAAAAAAAAACCGACTTAAAATTTCTTCCTGTAACAAAAAATAATAGCAGCATTTATCAAATGCTCTTTCATGCAAAAGGTTAGACTGGGTAGTGGGAAGGCTCCCACTGAAGGCTAGAGGACCAAGGCGAGGTCAGGGGCACAGGCCTCTCCCCAGTATGGGCTCCGCACCCCTCCCTCCCCCATCCAGGTGATCCCGGATGACCATGACTCCTGCCCGGGGCAGTTCCATTAGACACTGTGGTGGGTGCCTCATCTCGGTTATCTCGTTCAAACCCCACTGCACTCTGGCAAGGCAGGTGCCTTTATTACGCCCATTTTATTTATTTATTTATTTATTTATTTATTTATTTATTATTATTATTTTTTAATATATTGTATTGATTTTGTACAGAGAGGAAGGGAGAGAGACAGCGAGTTAGAAACATCAACGAGAGAGAGAGTCATCGATCAGCTGCCTTTTGCACACCCCCTACCGGAGATGTGCCTGCAACCAAGGCACATGCCCCTGACCGGAATCGAACCTGGGACTCTTCAGTCCCCAAGCCGATGCTCTATCCATTGAGCCAAACCGGTTTCGGCTATTACGCCCATTTTATAGATCGAGAAGCTCGGTTTGCAGCTCAGTGTGCACAGCGCTCATGCCACCTGCCCCAGGCCATGAAGTCATCAATGTGGAGCAGGATTTCTAGTGGGGATTTCGAACCCTGCAATACATCCAGCTACTGAAACTCGCCAGGGTCCCACTTTGCTCGTCTTTAAAATGAGAATAACGGGCTCAGTGTCATAACTGAAGGAAATCATAGATGAAAGCCAAGTGCAATGCCTATGAAATAGGTACTCAATCCACATTAGCTCACCTTCACCCCTTCACTTTGGTTCACAGCATGAGCGCCATTTAGGCCACGGATGAGCGTATCTTAACCAGTTAATGTAATTAATTTTGCATAATTATAAATATTTTTAAAAAAGCAATAACAACTGTCATACAAATAAAGTTAAAAAAAAAAAAACTAACAATTTTGTTGTTGTCTTTCCCCAGTTACAGGTTCTATCTCTCTACACTAATTAAAATGGAAAAGTTGCCATCTGGCCATCTGGATGATTTTGCCTGCGTGACAGGAATCATTCAGAATCTAGACACCTGAGAACATAAAATGGAAGGACTTGGTCGTCACAAGATCAGGAAAGACATTTCAGAAGACACTGACCTGTCCTAACTCTTCATTTAAATCCGAGGTGTTGACCACAGGCCTTTCACCCAAGTCCTCGTCAAACATCTCTTCGTCCCAGGTGATGAAATAGGAACCAAGGAACTTCTGCATCTCCACGGTGACATACATGGACACGGGGATGATGTAGTTGAACAGAACCATGAAGGCCAGGAAGTCCGTGAACGTCCTGAGAAACTGAGAGAACATCACGTGATTGCCCACAGACTCACACCAATACTACAACAATGTAAGGCTTAGGCACAGATCACCCAAGTGCAGACTTTAAATGCAAGGATTTCAAATCCAAAGATAAGGCTCATCAGGGGCTGCAGTGGCCAGTGGATGACTTGCCTGTCACTTAATTTTAGTGCTGCGATGGCCCCAGGCCAGCCAGGCCTCTGAGCGTGGGAGGGTGAAGGATTAAGTCACCGGTTAGACGATCACTTTGCCAGGAGACAGGAGGCCTCCCAGCTGAAAGCCAGTAGGAAGCTTTACATTGTGTATATCCCACATTTCCTTTGAGACTCTGACAAATGACCAACTGACTCTGTAATAACTCACAGATGCCAAAAACATCAGTTCTATACAAAGATTTTTCTATATAGTCTGTTCTTACCTCTAAGACATTTAGTTTTAATGGGAGGCCCAATTAAACACAGGAAGAAATGGGGACCCTAGTCTGGATTTGCATAAATCCTAGTCTAGACTCAGTGGGCCCTGGTTGGAGTTTACACTCAGTTCTGGCCTGCACTGAGTAGACACTGTCTGGATTTGCACAACTCCACTCTGTACTGATGGACACTGTTATAGAGCTGCACATGGCTTAGATCTGGACTCACTGGGCCCAACCAGAAAACTATTCTGTTTTAAGTAGAAGAGGTTCGATCAAATTATTTTAATATACTGGTTTTGGGCAAAATACTTTTGATAAACATTTTTCATTTGAAAAATGAAAGTAATTCTTATCATAGTTTCCATATAATTGTCTCTTTTTTGTCCACATACATTCCATAAGTAAATACCATTTACCTCACAATCATTAATGAGCATTCACTGAGCATCCTCTAAGTCAGCAGTTCTTCACCTGTGGGTCGTGACCCCTTTGGGGTCTAACAACTCTTTCACAGGGGTTGCCTAAGACATCCTGCATATCAGATATTTACATTATGATTCATAACAGTAGCAAAATTACAGTTATGAAGTAGCAATGAAAATAATTTTATGGTTGGGGGTCACCACAACATATTAAAGATCATGGTATTAGGAAGGTTGAGAACCACTGTTCTAAGTATAAACATTGCTCTGGGTTCTGGAAACATCCAGAAGCATTGAAGGTATATCCATATGAATTTACTATTGGGAACTAATACCTTTCCAGACTTACATATTCAAATCCAAAGAATGCAAAAGCAACCAGTATCTACAGCTAGAGAGGCAACCGATGGTTTCCATATCAATGCATGTACTTATTATAAAGATTGGATCAACCACAACTTCATCATGTTAACACATTTTCACAACAGCAGCCCACAGGGAATCGATCACTGAAAAGGAAATCAGTGTCCATACCAGGTTCCTCTGTCTTTCTGCTTCGGTTCTCTGATTATACCACGGCTCATCTCGGGATGGTTCACTCTGCCACACGTATTTCAGGACAGTATTTATCAGCGCTTTGCTGATGAGAATGCAGAGGTACACTATGAGGAACACATTCATTGACCTAAAACACAAGACAGTAATGTTTACTTAGTTACTGCTCCCTGAAGAATTGAGAGTTGTACACCTGTGTGTCAAGATGAACTTGTTGTGACAAAACAGATTAGGAATAAATGGCACAGCAATGAGTGCCATTCAAAGACCCTTCTTCTCCCAATCCACTGACAGTGAAAATAACGTAAGCTCATTTCTGAGTCTCCTCCGTGGTTACTGACATGTGACCCTAGACACCACAAGGGAAACAGCTCAGTTAAGGAAAGTTCTGTTAACAGGAAAGAAACTCCACACAACCGCATTGCTGACACAGGTTTCTGTATGGTCTAGGTCTCTATCATTTAAAGAACATCCAGAAACAAATTTCTTCTACCTTTAAGCATCAACCAATGAGTTCCGAATTTAGAGCTGACCACCAGGAAGGGAGGAGAGACGGAGGGAAGTCCACACTAAAAGAAATGCCCTCAGCATAAGAATAATGCTCAGTCTGTAGCCAAGGTCTTAGCAGACATCATGAAGAAGGGGTGATTTTCCAAAATCTATTTCTGAAACTTATTTGTCAATGTAGACATCTGGAAACAAAGCGTTCTTGCTTAAGAGCCAAGTCTGCATTTTGGTATTTGATGAAGCCAGAGATAGACTGGGACCCGGGATCACATTTCAAGACTGGCGTTCTGAGAGTGGGCAAAAGACACTCCGTCATTCAGTCTTCCCCTCCCAAATCCGAAAACAGCACACATTTCTCTGTTAAAAAATTTGTAACCACTCAGTAGCCCACTTCAAGTCAAGGATACATTTTAACAAGAGGCAAAGATGGGGGGAATCTGGGCCACATTTTCTTACAAATGCAACTCTCTCCTTGACGTATTTTTACAAAGATTTTATGGTTTAATAAAAAGAAGAAAGGCTCTGTTCTCCCTGCTAATGCTTTGCTCAGGAAAACAGGTGGTTTCAATACCCCAAATTAAAAATAACTCTGACTTTTTCATGAAATGAGGGGAGGAACTGTTGGGCAACTGCAAATGACTTCAAACTGGGACTTTTGGGGTGTCCACATGAGAGAGCCTGCAGAAGTGGGCTAAAGGTGTGTGGCCATTTACACACACACACACACACACACACACACACACACACACACACACACCAGATAAGACAGTCGATCTAAGTGTTCAGCTCTACTGCCTATCTAGACACCATGAAGAATTGCTAGTCGGGCCAAGAGAAAAGTGTTTTCATATCTACTGTGGTTTGGCCTCGTAAGTCACAGATTTTTACCCACTTCACATGATGGGGACTGAACCTTACTTTTCTACAGCGGACCGTTTCTGGGATTTTGATTGATAATTTAGTGCCATCTTGGTTTCCATGCCCGTATAAATAGCAACACCTGTAAAGCAGAGAACAAAGGTCAGAACAGTAACATAAATGTACTTGTCTTTACATAGTAAGTTACATACAGCTATGGTGACAATGGAACTTGGAGTAAAAGGAATTATAGTCTTTATTTCACTGGGCAGGCTAGCTGTTCATAAACAGAGTCACACAATAGGGTTCTTTAGACTAAAGAAATACTTTAAAAAAAAATTTCCTGCACAGAGAACAATCAGTATCTTTTATAATAAAGTTCAGATATTAATCAATTTGGGTTTCCCCACAAAAGGGTACAGCAATTTTAATTAAAAATTTATTTTAATTAAAACATAAGCAATAACCCACACAGAAATGGGAGATACTTAAAGAAATAAAGCCACTAAAAAAAAATTGTTACAAAATGTGCTGTGTGGATTCTTTCATGGATTAACTTTGTTTTTGAGTCAAAAACCTGTAGACACTTAATATATAAGCAATATTCTCAGATGTCATTGCTTTATGGATTGTGGTTATACATCAATACTGCTTTTCTTAGTGATGCAGAATTATTGCTGCCATCAAGTCTACCGTACTTCAAAGTACAGAAGATGCTTTCATGGTACCATTATTGTAATTACTTAACATACCCTTAATTTTAGAGGCTATCCTATATAATAAAAGGGTAATAGGCAAATCAACAGAATGGCAGAACAACTGGTCACTGTGATACATGACCACCAGGGGGCAGACGCTTGACACAGGAGCTGCCCCTTGGTGGTCAGTGTACTCCCACAGGGGGAGCACCGCTCAGCCACAGCTGGGCTGACACCTGGCATGCACAGTGGCCTGCCTCTGCGGCAGCACTAGGATGTCCGACTGCGGCTTAGACCTGGGGAGAGGGCCTAAGCTGTTAGCCAGACATCCCCGAGGGCTCCCAGACTACAAAAGGGCAAGACTGGCCTGAGGGACCCTCCCCCCCTCCCCCAGTACACTAGGCCTCTAGTTAATAATAATTCACTAATTAAAACATTTACCGAAGATCTTCTCAGTGTTCTTTAGTGTGGCTCCTCTAAGAAGCACATTTTCCGATCCTAATGATCTGTAAAGACAAGAATGACCAGAAAGAAGCAGGGCAATGGAGAAATCACAGTGAGAGGCATGCTACATGGTGAAAATCAACTCGCTTGCCTAACAGACTTCATTGTAAGACAGTGGTCCTCAACCTTTCTAATGCCGCAACCCTTTAATACAGTTCCTCATGCTGTGGTGACCCCCGACCATAAAATTATTTTCGTGGCTACTTCACAACTGTAAGGTAAACCATGTAAATATCTGTAATCAATCGTAATATAAGTATCTGTGTTTTCCGATGGTCTTAGGCTCTACAGATGCCGTCCTCATCCTGTGGGTCGCGACCCGCAGGTGGAGAACTGCCAGCAGGGTCACCTAACACCATCGGAAAACACAAGTATTTACATTACGACTCATTCACAGTAACAAAATGACAGTTATGAAGTACCCACAAAAATAATTTTGTGGTTGTGGGTCACCACACGAGGGTCGCGGCATTAGAAAGCTTGAGAACTGCTGACACCAGTTTGGCTCAGTGGTAGAGCATCGGTCTATGGACTGAAAGGTCCCGGGTTCGATTCCAGCCAGGGGCATGTACGTTGGTTGCGGGCACATCCCCTGCAGGGGGTGTGCAAGAGGCAGCTGGTCGATGTTTCTCTCTCATTGACGTTTCTAGCTCTCTATCTCTCTTCCTTCCTCTCTGTAAAAAATCAATAAAATAGATTTTAAAAAAAGAGAGAGAGAAAGCTTGAGAACCATTGTTGTTAAGAGGAAGTTGTTTGAATGTACATTTGCTTATATTTAGATTATAAAAGTCAGCCTGGGAATATGGAGCAGTGTGTGTGACCCTTGCCTGCTGGAAGTTAAAAACCCACTTCGGGGGAAGAATTTTGCAGAGTTCTAGCTCTGCGGGCACCCGCTCTCCTGGTGCAGCACGTCAACATGCTCCCAGACCAACCGAGCCAGGTCTGAACATTTTAACAACATTCTATTAGCGATAGCTTTGTGAGGGTGGTGGGCTGACAAGTAGGATCCCTGCACCAGTGCCATCAGCGGCACCAGACAACTTGTCTGAAGAGTCACCTCGACAGACTGAATCAGAAACCTGCTCCTAACAGGTATCAGGTTTCAGGACCACTGGCGGGAGGACCCCTACATGTTCTGGAAAAGCGAAAGGGTGGTGCCTCTGAGTCATGTGGCATTTCTGTCACGTCCTATGTCTATCACTCAATGTGTTTCATGGAATACAATCACCCTTTAAAGGTGAGGGCTGGTGCCCATCAGTAAATGAATGGATTAAAAAGCTGTGGGACATTTACACTATGGAGAACTATGCAGCTGTAAAAAAGTGGGATCCCTTAGCCTTTGGAACAGCATGGATGGGTCTGGAAAATATTATGCTAAGTGAAATAAGCCAATGTGAGAAAGATAAATATCACATGATCTCACTTATTTGTAGAATCTAATGGAAAAAATGAACTGACCAACAAAATAAGACTTGAAGCATGGAGGTTTGGAACAGACTGACTTCGATGTACAGTTGGGGGAACAAGAATTTAAATATTTATAATTTAAATATTTATAGGCATAGCCCATGGTCAGAGGCAATAGGGTAGTGAAGACCTGGGGAGAGGTGGGAAGGGCTGGGAGGAAACAGAGGGGAAATGGGATATGTCTGTAATACTATCAACAAAAAATATATTAAAACTAAATAAATAAAGGTGAAGGCTGAAATACTCTGTGTTCATTTATAAACACTGGCAGTCAAGTCCACAGAGACCCTCTAAATGCAGGTGGCTGTGAATCTGGAACAATCCATGCATTTTCTACTTTGGGGAGAAACAGGCAACAACCAAGGAATTTAAAAAGCATGCATTAAGACAAGCCCTAAGCACTCAACACTCAGCAGGGAGTGGCCGACAACACCTCTGCCTCCTGGAGGTACAGTTCCCCCTCGTTGATGGAGTAATCATTTCTTCTCCTTTCCCAAGAGGAAAAGGGAAACGTGAAGCAAAATCCAACTTTACACAGCTTGCTATTGTCAGCATTCTCATCGTTTTCTTTGGGAGGAAAAGAGTTGAAAGCATTTGCTGGAATTTGCTCTTTACTCCACCAGGGTCTTTAATTTCCTTTAGCCATGGAATGTGGAGAACCTGCTAAATGCTATACACCTCAAATGTGTGCCGTGTATTTAGCTGATACAGCTCAGGACTGTGTCCAGCTTAAGATGAGAAAGGGGGGGCTGCTGAGAAAGAAGAGCTGGCTGGGACCCAGTTGACGGGGTGTGTCTGCCCGGGGCTGCCTGAGGGCCTAGGCCCTCGCCCCTCACCCTGGTAGCCACATGGAGAGAGCCTCCAGGGTCACATTCCTGCTGCCGTCTGGCTATGTTAGAAGCATTGTTGGCCTTTGTGAGCTACACAAACAATAATTCATATTGAGCGTGCTCATGAAAACAAATGGCCCCTTTAAAAAGTGGCTCTGGGAAGTCTAAAAATAATTTACTTTAAAAAGTACTTTGCTTCCAGTTTGGACAGGAGGATGAAGAAATATTACCCTGAGTGGATTAAGAATTTAGATAAATAATTCATAACTGTCCACACCACAAACTTATAAACATCTTTAAGTACCTAAATATTAACAGTCTGCGGAATAGTATAAATGCATAAAAAGCTAAACGAGAGTTGCTATCAAAACACAAAATGTATTACTAATTATCTTCCCAAGATGTTTGGCATTAAACTTTGTCTAAACAGAAACCATGAAAAGACTGCAGTGTTTACTTTGTCGGATTCAGCGATATGAATAAATCGTAATCCATTACTTGTTCAAACAGTAATTCTTACAAGACACAGAAATACAGGTCATTTTTCCAAACTAGGAATTAGCTGTAGATTAATATCTATTTAGGAAAGATCATGGCAATGCCTCCATAAATTCTGAAAACTGCCCTAGCCAGAGCAGTCGCCTGGGAAGAGAGTCTGCCAGTGGACTTAGGGGTCCCAGGTTCGATTCCGGTCCAGGAGCACATGCCTGAGTTGCAGGCTCAATCCCCAGTGTGGGGGTTGCAGGAGGCAGCCAATCAATGATTCTCACTCATCATTGATGATTCTAATTCCCTCTCTTTTTCTCTCTGAGATCAATAAAAATATATATTTTTTTTAAATTTGAAAACTACTAACTGATAAATAATGATGAAAACAAGCTAAGAAGTGCACAAATTGTTTCCTTTAAACAAATAGTTTCAGGAGCTTACAAGGAGATAAGCCCCACCCAACGAATTCTATTTCAGTAACTTATTATTTTGCTACAATTTCCCATTGAGTTTATTTCTACTTATGAGCAACTTTAAAAAAAAAATACACAAAGTACTATCAAGATATTGGCAACTTGGAAACTGCTTAAATCAGGGGGTGGGGAGGATAATTTCTCTAAAAGGTGAGATTTATAAAAAAGGTCAACTCCTCAACTTACTTAAATCAATTTCTTAAATTGTAGATCTTGAATACCTTGGCACCAATGAACTGCCAGGAACTTGAAACAATGTCCAGATAAAACATCCAGGGAAGCAGACCCAGCACAGACCCAGAGAGATGTGGGCTGGATGATAACATCACACTGGTCCTGACCACAGGCGGTTGGGCACACCCACCTGTGACCTACACAGGCCTCAGCAATGCCGGGCCAACGGGTGGATGTGAGCCTGAGACAGGCCCTTGTGAGGCACATCCTCTTAAGTGCAAATGAAGTCCAGAGCCAAAACCATACCCCAGTAATGATTATGGGCAGATCAATCATACATTCCAATAAAGGGCCTCCAAGCCAGAAATCTTTCAACTTCACAGTTGATGACATGTTTGTCTATGTATCTGAAAAGGACTTTTTATTTTATTTTATTGATTTCAGAGAGGAGAGGAAAGAGAGAGAGAAACATTAATGATGAGAAAGAATCATTGATTGGCTGCTGCCTGCATGTCCCACACGGGGGATCGAGCTGTGACCTCTTGGTTGATAGGTTGATGACAATCAACCACTAAGCCATGCTGCTGGCAGGGCTGAAAAGGAATTTCTTTTTTAAAAATAGTTTTTAAATCCTCACCTGAGGATATTTTTCTATTGATTTTTTAGAGAGAGTGGAAGAGAGAGGGAAAGACAGAGAGAAACATTGATGTGAGAAAAACACAATGATTGGTTATCTCCAGCAGGAGCCCTGACCAGGGCCCGGGCCAGGGAAGAGCTTGCAACTGTAGTTCACGTCCTTGACCAGAATAAAACCCAGGATCCTCAGGTCTGCAGCCCACGCTCTGAGCCAAACTGGCTAGGGCTGAAAAGGAATTTCTAACATGGGAAACCGCACCCTCTCCTTTGTCTGGGAACTGTTATATGGGCTCCTGGCCTTTCCGTGCTGTGAGACCCTCAGCACAGCCCTGTGAGAGACCATTTCCTAGGAGCGTCGTTCTTTTTTCACACAGATAGCTGTATACTCAAGAGAAATCAGAAAACACTAGAACCTAGACTTCTGGAGAAGCCTAATTCTACTTTCAAAACCCAATAGAACAACAACACTAAAAAACTCTTATTAAATTAGTAAAAAGAAATGCACTTATAATTTAAAAGTAAAGAGAAGAAAGTCTTCAAAATTGTTTAAAAGAAGCACATCACCTCACCTCACCACGGGGTCATTCTGATCATTGTAAACATTTATGCGGCCCACAAACCTGGCAATAGAAAAGTCCGGTTAGTGGCACAGCAGCAACACGGGGGTGGGGGACCCCGGGAGGGAAGAGGCAGACCGGAAGTGCCCTGGCTTAAGGAATGTGCGCCCATGACCTGGGATTCTTTACTAAAAAGCACATCTGTGTATAGCTAAACGATTCTACCTTCCTCCCCTTAGTTTACTTTCTGTTCTTATTAACCCATGACTTAAATGATTTTCCTTAAAATCACTTCCTCAACGTAGAAAAAAATATTTTTTTCTGCAACAAATTTAGTTTCCTTAGGCCATTTCTAATGTTTGTATGAGTAGCTATAGATTTAAATGTTGTCAGACTCTGGAAATATATAAGTAACCCATTTTTAACTCAGTCTAAACTTTCACGCAGTGATTGACATTCTCTTTCCAGATCCCCAGGCCCCTGGACTATTTGGGGTGGAGAGCAAGAACATTTAGGGGAGAAAAAGATACTCGTGGGGAGCACAGATCTTACTTGTAGAGGTCGGGCTGGGGCTGCTCGCACTCAATGGTAGCATGGAGGCCATCTATTTCTTCTTCTGTTTGAAATCCCTTTGTGTCTTGAACTGCATAATATGTCTACAGGTTGACAAGAAATGTGAATTCACAACAAAATGAACAACACAAACCTAGCAGCCAATGCCTCCAATCGCAGGGCAGCAGTAATGTCCAATTTTTTGTGCATATAAATAAGACCGATGACAAAGCCTGGCTAGCATATGAGAAAAGTATAATATAGAGTTTGGCCCTAGCCGGCTTGGCTCAGTGGATAGAGCATCAGCCTGCGGACTAAAGGGTCCCAGGTTCGATTCCGGCCAAGGGAACATGCCTGGGTTGCTGGCTCTAATCCCCAGTAGAGAGGCAGCCAATCAATGATTTTCTCTCTCTCTCTCTCTCTCTCTCTCTCTCTCTCTCTCTCTCTCTCTCTCTCTCTCTCCTCCCTTCCTCTCTGAAATCAATAAAGAAATATATATTTCTTTATTGATTTCGACCAGCCGCCTCTTGCACACCCCCCACTGGGCATGTGCCCACAGCCAATGTACATGCCCTTGACGGGAATCGAACCTGGGACCTTTCAAGTCCGCAGACCGACGCTCTACCACTGAGCCAAACCGGCCTCGGCAGAAATATATTTTTTTTAAAAGAGTTTGAAAACATTAAAAGTTATAGATTTATATATTACTGCTATTTTTCTTATACCTATTAGGTGCCAGGAAGTTCTTCCATTCTGACCCAGTTTCCTCAACCTAAAACTATGCATAGCAGTGCTGAGAATTCTTCTTCAAAATAGGACACCTCGATTTATCTGTCATGGTGGTGACTATCAATTAGGAAAAAAATTTAAGAGCTAAAATATTCTTTTGTTTATATAACATCCTATTGATTATAGCAGGAATGGGGAACCTTTTTTCTGCCAAGGGCCATTTGAATATTTATAACAACATCCACTTAATAGAAATTTATGTTGCTATGAAAAAGCTCCTAGATTTACTGCATTTCGAATCCTGCCTGGGATTGTCTAGGCAGGGCAAGACCAAATTATTTCACGAGCCTCAAGTGGTCCACAGCTGACACTCCCCACCCCTGGTTTACAGAGAGCTGTCATCAGTATCAGGAACTGCCCTCATCTGACACAGGAGAATGTATAGCTACTCCTCGAACCTGCTTGTTCATCAGAATATCCTCGGGGGGCTTGTAAGGCACTGACTCCAGGACCCCACTGGGGGTCATGTTAGAAATGCAATTCTCAGGCCCCATCCCAGCGTTTCTGATGCCATGGGTCGGGAGTGGGGCCCGAGGCCTGCCTTTCTATATAACATGATCCTCCGTGATGCCTAAGCTGCTGGGCTGGGACCCCGTTTGGAGACCATGGGCCAGATGATGTTAGTAAGCATGGACAGACAGGTGGGCTCGCCTGGGAGGAGAGAGGAAAGCGACTCTCGTGCATGAGGGCCTGGTGAAGGAGACACGCCACGACGTCTCCTCTTATCTGTCTCTCTAACGATCAAGTGTTAGACACATAAAATGTTCAATAAACCAAAACAAACAGGAGATATGATCACGGCAACCGCAGCAGCATTTGTAACATTTCAGGGAATTCATTGGGTATTCTACACTTTGGGAAATTTTCTAGTTATGTCTCACAGGAGCCCCTAGAAGACAGGTTTGTCCCTATTTGATGGATGTGGAAGCTCCAGAGAGGCCAGATGTCTGCCACAGACATGAGGAATGAATGTGACCAGTGCAGGAGTCCCACTCCCCACTGTGCTTTTAAGCAAAGGGCTCAGATCTATCCAGTCCCCAAGCCAAAACCAAAGCACAGAAATGATGCCGGAGGGCACTCATCCGAGATGTTGAGCACACCATGCCAAAGGTCAAAGTGAAATGTGGACTCTTATATCTGCGGTTCTAGACTGCTATGAAATTTTACCTGAGAAGAGCGATACCCCTGGAGGCCTGAGCATCTGCTCACAGCAATCTGAGGCCTCTGTGAGCAGACACATCCCTCCTGGGAGAGGGGTGGAGAGGCAGCCCACGGCCCTCAGTGAGGGCGTGGATGGCTCATTTGTTTTGTTTATTTATTACTCAGTGTATTCATCCAGCACTTTGTTATTAGAGAGGAGGACGCAAGGAGAGTTAGAGATGTTTCCTGTCAGAAAGGACCGGTACATAAACTCCTCGCGCTCCAGAGCCCAGTGGCAGGCTACAATAAACACCCGAGACCCAACCCAGGGATTTCCATTCCCAGAATCACTGTTGTTCACAACGACTTGTGCCAGAATGTCAACTCCGTTGGGATGTGCTACACAGAAGATGTGAAAATAAATGCCAAAAAAAATCCCACAGGACTTTGTACAATGATACTATGAATTATCCATAAAAGATTAGCATATCCTTTAGGGTTTTGCAAAAAAAAAAAAAAAAATTCTCTTTCTCATCCTAGAAATTGCCTATATTTATATGTATTGTTTAAGCATCGTGTTAGAGTTGCAATTTTGTGACCTAATGCCTTGATTCCATTGAGATATACTCAATCTTATAAACTCCTCGGAATCTTTCAGATTTTTTAAATAATGAAAACATTAAAATTAATGGTGATATGTCCTATTCTCTGGTGATTGTTAATTAAAATTTGTACCATCAGCTACCAGTACAGAATTCCACACTGAATGTAAGAAATTAATTATAACTTCAGATATTATTAAAATATTTTAACAAAAAGACACCCATTGAAGCAACAGTGAGTGCGGCAAAACTCTAGACTTGTGTGTGACTTTTCACCTAATTCCAGGGTCGTAAAGACACTAATTCTGACTGGTGAAATGAAAACTTTCAAAATTTCAGCTATCGATTCATTGGTACCTCTGCTAAAGGACACAGCTACATAAATAATGAAGTTATTTCTGTTAACTCAATGGTTGGTTGTTACGAATATCGAAGGTGGAAAGAAAAAAAAAAGTAGAAAATAGAAAGAAACAAAAATCAAAAAACCATTTGGCCAGCACACGTCCCTGGGTCTCCACTGAAAGTTGGATTTCCAAACATGATGTGGTTTCAAGCCCCACACGCATAGCTGGGGAAGAAGGGGGAGGCCCGCACAGGGTCTCCAACAAAAGGCTCCTTACTTTGTGACTCGACTCTCCATCTAAGCTGGTGGTTGTCACGTGGCAGGTCCCGTCTGCACGGCTGCTGGAGAGGAAGATCAAGTCACAGGGGAAAGTCTCATCCTCCTTGACCAAGACGATGTCCCCAACCTGAGGGCAGACAGACAGACAGTGCCATCAAATGAACCCTGCCTCTGTGCAGCAAGATTGTCTTTTTGCTTAATGGGCCAGTCAATACTCACCGATACCATTATGGTGTTTGTTTACCAGAGGATATATGGATGCTAATGTGACTCTAGAGAAAGATCATTTCCCAGGCATTTTGCCCAAACTGAGGACAGACCAGGTGAGGTTTCACTGTACCAATTTTAGATCAAAGTGCATTACAACTGAATATTTTGCAATGGAAACACAAACATCCATAACAGGATTATCCTTGATTCGGCCTAAAAGGATGAGTTCTAGTGTTTCCTTAATGTGTCCAAGTGGGAATTATCCTTGGAGGAAGGCGCTGACTTAAAACAAAGTGTCCCATAAACCAGGTAGGAGGGTTCTAAACACTGGCTGAACAACAGAACCAAGACACTGTCCAGATCACTCAAGTGGGACTAAGAAGTGGCAATCACCTTAAAAAAACTAGAGCAAAAAAGAGCCACAGAATGTCTGTCATATGGATTTTTAAATTAGATGAAACATCCCACTTTTTATGTATTACCAATCAAGACATCTAAATGACCTCCCAGAAAGGCCCCTTTCCTTCAGACTTTGTGTCTGGAAGGTAAATGACCATTAAAATCAGGGCGATTAGTCAGAGGATTCAAATCCTTCCAAACGCTTGGATGCTGCTGCCACTGTGAGTGTTTCCAGAATCAGGACATCAGTGTGCCTCTGCCTACACTGTAAGTACAGTTCCCCCTCACACTCCATTACTCCCCGAACTGAGTGTCTGGGAACTTCACATTGGAGGGTTATTCCTCAAATAGACCTTTGTGTTTAGTGAAATTCCTATAGAAAATCCCAGCAAAGATTTTTGTAGACACAGATGGGCTTATGCTAAAAGTGACGTGGAAAGGTATAGGCCTAGAATATCTACAATAATCAATCCTGATCAAGAAGAATGAAGGGAGAAGAAGGGGAGTCACTCGGCCGATGTGAAGGCTTTCTATGCAGCTGGAGTAGCAGGATGTGCCCGTCCTGTCAGAGGACTGGCACAAAGAGCAATGAAACCGAACGAAGGACAGTGAAACTGAGCCACACAAATAGCTTCTGACTAACTTCAACAAAAGTACGAAAACAATTCAATGGAGAAGGAACAGCCTTTCTGTCAAATGATAGAACATTTGGGCAATCATAAACAAACAAACAAAACAAGGAAACTCTGCCCTAAACCTCATATTTTATGTGAAAATTAATTCCAAATGGAGCATGAACTTAAAACATAAAACTGTTAGAAAAAAGTGCAGAACATCTGTGGGCTCCAAGTTAGGAAAAGAGCTCTCAATAGTTTTTAAATAATATATTTTTATTGATTTTTACAAAGAGAGGAAGGGAGAGAGACAAGAGAGATAGAAACATCAGTGAGAGACAAACATCTATCAGCTGCCTCCTGCACGCCCCCTACTAGGGATGGAGCAGGCAATCCAGGCATGTGCCCTGACTGGGAATCGAAACAGCAACCTCTAGGTTCTTGAGCTGAGGCTCAACCACCTAGCAATACCAACCAGACAAGAGCTCTTAATCTTGACCCTAAAAGCATGATCCATAAAAGGAAAAAAAAAAATCAATAAATTGGACTTCTTCAAAATTTTAAAATTTTGTTTTATGACTGTACCATTAAGGGATTTCTGACAATGAACTAATATTTAAAATATACGAACTTTCAAAATTCATCAGTAAAAACCCTCAAATAATCCAACTAGAAAATAAGTAAAAGACATAAAGAGTTGTTGTTTTTTTCCCACAGAAGAGGATACACGGAAGGCAAATAAGCACATGGAAAGACATTCAACATGGTTAAAAGCCATTAGGGAGATGCAAATTTAAACCTTACTGAGATATCAGAATGACTAAATTAAAAAATAGTGCCAACATCAAATGCTGGTAAGAATGTGGAGAAACTGGATCTCTGACACATTGCTAACAGGAATGGAAAACTGTCCAGTACGCTGGAAGATTTTTGGCAATTCCTCTTAAAACTAAATATGGATTTGTTCTGTGACCCAACAATTCAACTCTTGAGCTGTTATGCCAGAGAAATGGAAACTTTATTCATACCAAAACCTGCATACAAGTATTCATAGCAGTTTTATTCCTAATAGCCCCAAACTGGAAAAGATGTACATGTCCTTCAATGTTAAATGTAGGCAAACTCTGGTCTACCCCACACCATGGTCTCATCAATAAAAGGAAGGAGCTACCGATACAAATAATGGGGCTGAGATCAAGGGAATTAGACTGAGTGAAAAAGGCCAGTCCCAAAAGGTTTCTGACTGTGCGATTCCATTTATGTAATGACATTCTTGAAATTATAGAGATGAACAAATTAAAGGCTCCTTTTCTAACAGCCTGGTGCAGCCTCTGAGGACCTGAGCCATTATGGCCTAAGAAAGATGATGCCTAGAGTCACAAAGGACACCCTATTGTTCTTCCTGATCTCACAGACGATTGAGAATCCTCTGGCTTGCACAGGGCTGGACACAGAGCAGACATTTCTTATAGGAGATCAATACACTAAAAATTCAATGTTCTGCTGGTGGACACTGCTTAGGTATGTTTTTTTTAAAAAAATATATTTTATTGATTTTGTACAGAGAGGAAGGGAGAGAGATAGAGAGTTAGAAACATTGATGAGAGAGAGTCATCAGCTGCCTCTTGCACACCCCCTATTGGGGATATGCCCACAACCAAGGTACATGCCCTTGACCGGAATCGAACCCGAGACCTTTTGGTCTCTAAGCCGATGCTCAATCCATTGAGCCAAACCGATTTCGGCTGCTTAGGTAAGTTTAAAGAAAGAGATGTTTACTAAAAGTTACAAACTGCCAGTTATAAAAGTCGTCACAGGGATCTAAAGTAAACCATAGGGAATATCTATATATAAAAAGGACTAATATGCTAAGTGTCCCTGTGGACCCATGTCAATGACATTGAACAGGCCTCCCACTGTATTCTTGTATTCTGGACTCGGCCCTTTTCCAAACACCATGACCCCCAAGCTGACTGGCTATCCCTCTTCAGGGCTATGCCTGGAAGTGGAGGCCCACTTTCCTGTCACTCCGCATGAGAGCTGGCAATGATCCTTTTCTGCAACTTCCTGAGAACCCACCACAACTTCTGGCCAGGAAAGCAGCCCAGAGAGCCAGTGGAGCTGCAGGCAAGGAGGAAAGGTGGATGGAGGAGAGGCCTGGTCCGGGTGACAAGGTCATGAGAAGGTCACAGGAGGAGGACAGCTGGGCTTCATCCCCTAGGTTCACAGCTAAAGATGGCAGGACAAACTGTAAAAATTATACTTATTGTTTGTACACATTTGGTGCTCTAAATAGATAATATAGGTTTGAATGCAATCCACTTCATTCAAATGCACATTTAAAGATAAAAAATTACATGTTGCATTAATAATTCATTGGAGAAAAAATTAAAATGAAACTTTCAGTGAGATTTCAGACTCAATCTTCATAATTTCTCACTAATGAACATCATATGAAATTTAGGATGTTCTAAAACAGGTTTTCTAAAAATGTTTAAAGCTTTCCTTGTCTTGACTGGTTAGTAAGTATGATCCAGCGATTTTCAACTGGTGAGCTGCAAGAATTTTGAAACCATGCAATACCTATTTTATTTAGTCAGAGGCATTGACTTCTCTCCCCTTAGGTTGTCAAGTAAAAAATGACAACAGCCAACACAAAAATAACTATCTGGTGAGAATGAATAAAAATTACACCTATATATTTTTGTCAGATCAGCAAAAATTATATTTTTGGTAGGCCACAGAATTTTAATAATTAGCTTATATGTGCTATGAGATGAAAAAGGTTAAAAATCACTGGCATCTATAATAATAAAAGGGTAATTTGCTAATTAGGCTGGACATCTTCTGGTTGTCATTCTGGACATCCTTCCTGACAAAGCCAGGGCCAGAGGGCAGCCAGTCTGGGTCCCGGATGCCTGCCAGCGGCCGGAGGAAGGAAGTCTGGGTGCTGGGTGCCAGAGGGAAGCCGGTGCCGGCAGCCAGGGGAAGGAAGGCCTATTCTTGCAAAAATTTTCATGCATTAGGACTCTAGTAATCTAGTAATCTCAAACTTCAAATAGCCCTGTTGGGACTACTGACAGTGGGAGAGGCTATTGGGGGTTGGGGATGGAGGACAAGGTGTATATGGGAAATTTCTATACCTTCTGCTCAATTTTGCTGTGAACCAAGTAAAGTTCATGTTAATAAGAATTTGCCTTGTTCTAAAACAGGTTTTCTAAACGTGCTTAGAGTTTTCCTTGTCTTGTATGGTTAGTGAATATGATCCTGTTTCAAAAGTTGTTTATTAAACTTTAAAAATAAATAAGTAAATAAATAAATAAATAAGTAAAAGTAGTGATAGGAGTTTGCCTGAAATATTAGGGGAAGAGGTTGGGCGTATCCTATGTAATAAAAGCCTAATATGCGAAGTGTCTGGTCATCCAGTTGGCCTTCAACCAATCAAAGTGTAATATACTAATGATATGCTAAGGCGGCTCAACTGCTTGCTATGTGTGCACTGACCACCAGGGGGCAGACACTCCAACCTGTAGGTAAGCTTGCTGCTGGGGTCCGGCTGATCAAGAATGAGCAAGATTGAGCAAGACCAGCTGGACATGCCCTGGAGCCCTCCCACATTCTCCCACTGGCTGGCCAATCTCCCGCGTCTCTTCCAGGCCCTGATCATGAACTGGTGGGGTCCCTCGGCCTGGCCTGCACCCTCTCACAATCCAGAACTTCTCAAGGGATTTCAGAGAGCTGGTTTTGGCCCGATCCTGCAGGCCAGGCCAAGGGACCCCACTGGTACACAAATTTGTGCACTGGACCTCTAGTACCTAATAAAAAAATCTGTTACACTGTTGTTGTTGTTTTAAATTGTTATTGGCTTTACACCAGTTAAGGGTGTCAGTTATTACTTACTCTCAGCTTTCGGCTCTGCTTCCGAACCAACTTGCCATGCTGGATGAAATGAACAGGGCACTGGTTCATAGCGTTATCTGCTTTATGGCGAAGCCAGTCTTCATAGCCCTGAAAAGAGAAAAAATTCCATGACAAGTGAAACATGGAGGATCCCTCAGCTTTGGGCCAATCCTTCTGGACTTTGTTGTGATGGGCTATGACATCGAGTACAGTACAGCCAGCCTCGGCCCATTGCACAAGCCAGGTGGCCTGGAGCCCTGGGGCCCTTGAGCTCCCAGCTGTGTCTATGAGAAGGACAAATGTGGCCGCAGAGCCACCAGAATCACCTTTTATTTTCCGTGACCTCACATCCGAAGCCCACCCATTGGCAAGTCCTGGCATTCTTCCCTCAAATGTATCCTAAATCTTCCACTTCTTCATGTCCTCTGGCCACTATGCTGTCAAGGTCCCAGCCTTCCTTGGGCCCTAGAAGGAGCACTCCCCCCAAATTGAACAGGGGAAAGACTAGTCCTGTCACTGCTGGGAGCCCCAACTCTACACCATCTAATGGGGCTTTCCCAAACTTTCCCCCCATCTAGACATGTGTGGAATGGCCATTCTCAAGTCCCCTGTGGTGACACACCAGATGGCTCAAGCCAGGGCCATGGTTTGGGGCCCCTGAGAGGCCAGGGCCAGCTCCTGGCCTGAGGTCTGGGGCAGGGTCTTCTGGTTTCCCTTTTACTGTACTCACCTGGTTCCTAGTCAAATTGTATGTATCAGAGAGGCCCCTGCCATTGACACGGTGATGCTCTACAGTACACATGTGGGCTTATGTGTATACATGCATGTGTATGTGTTTGTGTACAGGTGCACATACACATGGCTTCTTGGTGTCTGCCTCCCTCACTGGAATGTCTCTTGTTCAACAATATCATCTCTAGGGCCTACAAAAAGACTCACTACATGGAAGACACTCAATTAATACCTGTAGAATAAGTGAATATGTATAATATATAAAATTAGAAAAGAAAAATATTTTTAACCATATGCCTGGATCATGTTACACCCAGTGTTTATGGGTCTTCTGCCTGATTTGCTATTCTCCACTCTGCCACTCAGTGCAGGAGAATGCATTTTTTAAAACAAAATCAAGACATAAATAAAAGAATAAAAAATGACTTCCCTAAATCAGTTTTTAGCATTTATATTGCACAAGTTTTATGCAGTTTGTGGACAAAAGTAAGAAATACATACATAAATCACTCCTCCAAAAAAAGAAACTATAAATGTCCTATTTCTATCACTTCATGAAAACTATTAATACAGCCGAAACCGGTTTGGCTCAGTGGGTAGAGCGTCAGCCTGCGGACTGAAAGGTCCCAGGTTCGATCCCAGTCAAGGGCATGTATGTTGGTTGCGGGCACATCCCCAGTAGGGGGTATGCAAGAGGCAGCTGATCGATGATTCTCTCTCATCTATGTTTCTAGCTCTCTATCCCTCTCTATTCCTCTCTGTAAAAAAAATCAATAAAATATATATTTTTTAAAAATACGATTAATATATAAATTATTACTACATAAATATAATTATATATAAATACCAGAGGCCTGAAGCATAAAATTTGTTCCAGAGGCTTGGCCCTCACAGCCCTGGCTTCATCCAGAAGGTTGTCTGAGTGTCCAGTCTAATTAGCATATTATGCTTTTATTATTATAGATAATTCTAGCCTTTGGGGGTATAGTTTTTCAAAAAAACTGCACTTACTACTCTACTTTGTACCTTCAATATATCACGGGCATTTTCCCATGGCAATTTGAATTATAGTTATACATATAATTCTGATAAACATCTTTACAATTGTGTTGTTATGCATAACCGTTATATATTCTTAGTATAGATTCCTAAAAAGAAAACGTCTGAGTCAAAAGATAAATAAGACTTTTAGGCTTTTAATATGAACTGAACAAAAGTCCTCAAGAAACTTGGCACTAATTATACTAGTATTTCTAACACCTGAACTTAAATATTCTACCTTGAAGAGGATAAGTCAGCATACTCATGCACATATGCATTTTATTGATCGTAACAAACATTGGAAGCTACAATACCAGCTATTACTGTCAAGCCCTGACTGGTTTGGCTCAGTGGATAGAGCATTGGCTCAAGCATTGGATTCTCATAACTAAGGACTTTGATAAAATTCTTTTGTTCTTAAATAGGTACAATTTCAAATTCTTTCCCATTTTAAATTCTTTCCCCAGCAGAAGAAAACAATCCTTTCCAACCAAGAGTTTGAGGTTTTCTGGATTGATTAACATGCTTTCTGAGTTGGGTTTCACTGAATGTGGAAAGTGTGTTTAAGGATGATGAATTACTTCTTCTCTGTACTATTTCCCAGTACAGAAAGGGAAACCAGACACCCAAAGAGTTGTCTATTATACATCTCCGATGTGGCTACACATCTGTACCCATATGCTGTCATGTGGTGGAAATTCTCTGGAATTAGATGGTGGTGATGCCTGCCACTGGCTAAATGGACAGTGGAAATAACTGAGATGCATTCTTTTTACTCTTAGTCACTGGCTTTATTCTGCAGGACCAGAAAGAATAATTCGATCCACACTGAGTGAGTCAGGAGTTAGCATGCTCTAGTATAAAGCCACACCCCAGACCCTCTGTAGAAAGCAGATCCTTGCAGTTAAGACCATCAAGAACACAGCCAGGTTGAGCAACTCATCTAAAATCAGACACCATCCCTGGCTGATTCAGTGTGAAACTATAGTTTCTTCCTAAACTCACAGGGCACCAAATTAACTTCTAAGTTACAGAATCTCTCTCCTACTCAAGCATCAATCTGAAACAGTTATAATAAAAATACATTTTAAGCCCTGACTGGTTTGGCTCAATGGATAGAGCATTGGCCTGTGGACTGAAAGGTCCCAGGTTCAATTCCAGTCAAGGCCATGTACCTTGGTTGCGGGTACATTCCTAGTAGGGGGTGTGCAGGAGGCAGCTGATTGATGTTTCTCTCTCATTGATGATTCTAACCCTCTATCCTTTTTCCTTCCTCTCTGTAGAAATCAATAATATATATATATATATATATATATATATATATATATATATATATATATTTTTTTTTTTTTTTTTTTTTTTTTAAGTTTATTACTTTAGCTGAAACCGGTTTGGCTCAGTGGATAGAGCGTCGGCCTGGGGACTTAAAGGTCCCAGGTTCAATTCTGATCAAGGGCATATACCTTGGTTGTTGGCACATCCCCAGTGGGGGGGTGTGCAAGAGGCAGCTGATCAATGATTCTCTCTCATCAATGTTTCTAACTCTCTATCCCTCTCTCTTCCTCTCTTTAAAAAAATCAATAAAATATATTTTAAAAATAAATAAAATAAAAAGCTTGTCACTTTAAAATAAAACACATTTTTAAAATGTAGATAAGCTTTTCTAGCTAAATTAAACGATATTACTTTGTGTAAGAGGCGACATCATATAATAAAAATAACTACCTTCTCCCTCTGCCTGTGAAGTCTTACCTGCTTGATAGCTGTGACCGTGATGACAAAGAACAGTGGCAATCCACTCGTTACTGGACTTGTGGGTGTATCAATAATCAACTGCAATTAAAAGAGAATTGTAGAGCCCTTGTCAGAAACACGCATCAGTGTGACTAAACAGACTGGCTGGCCCTATCACACGGCCACCCGACATTTGCTTTTACTTATTTTAAATTGCTTTACTGTTACCTGATTCCTCCCACCACTAGAGCTAAATTAGATAAGAAGCAAATCATCCTATTTTACTATAAAACTGAAGACAGTTCTTTTTAACTAAGGAAAATGCTCAAGAAAACCATGTGAGCGGTGGCAAAGACACAGTCTGATACCAGTGTACATGTTATGTTAATTTACTACTCTCTTCTGGGGCCACACTTTACGTTATTTGGATAACTTAATGTGGGGGAAAGTTTAAAAGTCCTTCAATTGTATTTTGTATAGTGGAGACAAACTGAATTGTTGTTCTTAAAACACATCTGATGGATTCATTTCCTAATTCATAGCTCATTGTGGTTTTCACACTTCTTTCTCTCCACCCCCCTTACCCCCCCGCCCAATCCACTTCTCTCTTTAATATTTTCTTCAGACAATCTATGTATACTTGGAAGAGGGTAAATGTCATAATGCTTAACTGGGTTGGTGAGTTTCTCCTAAAGATTAGGAAGCACCTGATCTCCCCTCCAGTGCTGGACAGTGGCCAGAACCAATGTAATTACAGAATGCCCATGTATGTTTTAGCACCTAGGTCCCTGAACCAATACACTTGATCTTGAAGAAAATAAAGGAAGAGACTGTAGATAAGTGGCACCAACTTCGTGCTCCTTCTTAATAGCAAACCACACTTAAACACCTGGGAATAAAAGATCACTCATTTAGATTTGAGGTGGTAGAGAAACGGTCACTGGCCTTACCTGGACCAGAAATATGATAAGAAAATAAAAGTTGGCGATTCTTCTGAATTGTTCAAACAAGTTCTTGGGTATGAAGTTCCAAAATGTGTACTGTATAAAAGAAAAACAAAAAGTTGTCATTTTAGTCACCTTTTACTTTTTTGTGTTATTTACTTTACTACATGGTAAGTAGCACTGGATCTCACTGTACAAAATGGTTGGTTTTATCTTTTTATTTTTATATATTTTAAAAAACATATTTTATTGATTTTTTTATAGAGAGGAAGGAAGCCAGAAACACCGATGAGAGAGAAACATCGACCAGCTGCCTCCTGCACACCCCCCACCGGGGATGTGCCCGCAACCAATGTACATGCCCTTGACCGGAATCGAACCTAGGACCCCTCAGTCCGCAGACTGACGCTCCATCCACTGAGCCAAAAACAGTTTCAGCTATCTTTTTATTTTTATAATATCTTTCTATTGCTTTCAGAGAAGGAGGGAGAGGGAGAGAGAGAGAGATAGAAACATCAATGATGAGAGAGAGTGAGAGAGAGAGAGAGAGAAGGAGAGAGAGAGAGAGAGAGAGAGTCATTGATTGGCTGTCTACCGCACACCCCCAACTGGGGATTGAGCCCACAACCCAGGCATGTGCCCTTGACTAGGAATTGAACTGTGACTTCCTGGTTCACAGGTCAACGCTCAACCACTGAGCGACACCAGCCTGACCAAATGGTTAGTTTATATACAAAACCCATAATTCAAAATTTAGTGCGTTTACAGACATTTTTTTTCAATTTGCTGACCACAAAAACAAATTGCTGGCAGAAAATGTGTTCTCCAAAGGCAGGATGAATGAGTTCCCTTCTTCATTATTCAGGGTAATGCAAAGTACCTTAACAATAGTTTTATTATTAAAATGTCTTTTGTAAAATATAAACCTATGATTATTAGCGTACATGTTTAGCATTTTTCCTTGATGGTATTTTCTTCATAAGCTGTTTCTGTGTGTGACATTGTGATTAGATGGTAAAAGAAAGCTAAAACAGAAGAAGCAAACGTTAAGTGGTCCTGACCCAGTTTGGAGACGGCTCCTACCCAGAGGGCTGTCTCTGTCAGCACCACACACAACAGCCCTTCCTCTTGATTCAGAGGGAATGGAGAAGCAAGCAGGGAGAATGGTTCTGGGTGCCACTTCCTCTCCAAACCTTGCAATTTTGCTTCAGGAGGAGAGTTTCCCTAACTTTTATGCTGAAAACAACCATGTCCCAGATGTCCTTAATCTACAGTGAACATCGAGCATGGAAATGGTTTTTAAAATTCCATTTGTCAAGCTTTTGTCTTTAGTGAGGATAGTCTAATGAGTGAAAAAGGGCTCTGCCCAATCAGCATGGTGACCCTTGCCCTCTGTCTGCATAATGAACAGAACCTACATGAGCTCCAGCTGGGCATTGCACACCCAGACATCAGGGACCAAGCCCTCCTACCAAATCCTCCTTTCGTGTTAGAATCTCAAACACAAGTTCCTGAAAACTGAATGGCCCTAAACTATCCAACATATTCTGAACTGGTTTTTACATCTATTTCACCTATTTCTATATCTACAGTTTAAAGGCTTCTTTGCCTTCAGTTTCTGACTGCTTAGAGAATATACAATGAATTTCAATTTTCTATTTTAATTTATAATCACAAGTTCATAATGAAGTTCATTAATGAATAAGAAAACATAGAAGTGGTTCCCCCATCCCAGTGGGCATATTTTCAGTTCCCTTTCTCAGAATGGCCCCAATAAATTACTCCAAGAGGGTTTCTAGAGGTTTAGAAAAGGAATTAATTTTCTAGGTCCCAACCCTCCCTTCCCTATCTTTCATGTATCGTTTCATACCAGTCTTTTATGGGATATGAATGGGAATATCTTCTCTTAGTAACTTGTCTTTTAATTCTCTTAACAGGAGAAAACTTTAATTTTAATTAAGTCCATCTTATCAATTTTACCTTTCAAGATTAATGTTATTGGTGTTGTATCAAAAAACTTGTTGCCGCCGAAACTGGTTTGGCTCAGTGGATAGAGCGTCGGATTGCAGACTGAAAGGTCCCGAGTTCGATTCCGGTCAAGGGCACGTACCTTGGTTGCAGGCACATCCCCAGTTGGGGTGTGCAAGAGGCAGCTGGTCAATGTTTCTCTCTCATCGACGTTTCTAACTCTCTATCCCTCTCAATCCCTCTCTGTGTAAAATCAATAAAATATATTTAAAAAACAAACAAACAAAAACAAACTTATTGCCAAACTCAAGGCCACCTAGATTTTCTTCTATGCTATCACCTAGGACATTTATAGTTGTGTGTTTTAGGGTTATCGTCAATCTACTTAGAGTAAATTTTGTGAAAATGTAGAATCAATATCTAGATTTTTTCTTTTTTTGTACGTGGAAGTCCATTTGTTCCAGCACCATTTGTGTAAAAGATTTTTCTTTCTCCATTGCATTGGCCTTGCTCCTTTGTCCAAAAATCAACTGACTATATTTATGTGGATCGATGCCTGGGTTCTCTATTCTCTTTCACTGATCTATTTGTCTATTCTTTCACCAATACCACCTGTCTATATTACTGTAACTTTATAGAAAGTATGAAGTTGGGTAGTATCAGTCTTCCAACTATGTTCTTCTCCTTCAATTGTGTGTGTTGGCTATTTTCAGTCTTTCATTATAAACTTAAAATCAATTTGCTATTATTTACAAAATAACTTGATGGAATTTTGGTAAGAATTGTGTTGAATCTATAGATTAAGTTAGGAAAAACTCAGTATCTTAAAAACATTGAGTCTTCCTATTCATGAACATGGAATATCTTTCCATTTATTTAAATCTTCTTTGATTTCTTTCATCAACATTTTATAATTTTTCTCATATAGATCTTATATATAATTTGTAGGATTTATACTTAAGAATGTATTATTTTCCTTTTGGTGCTAATGTAAATGATGTTGTGTTTTTAATTTTAACTTCTGGTCTGCCAGGTAACCTGCACAAATTTGGAATTTAAAATCAGATAAAAGGCTCAGGCAGTGTGACTCAGTGGTTGAGAGTTGACCTATGAACCAGGAGGTCCTGGCTTGATTCCCAGTTGGGGCACATGTCTAGGTTTCAGGTCCCTTCCCCAAAGGAGGGTGTGCATGAGGCAACCAATCAATGACTCTCTCTCTCTCTCATCATTGATGTTTCTATCTCTCTCTCCCTCTCTATTCCTCTCTGAAACCAATAAAAATAATAATAAAGTAAAATCAGTTCAATGGTTTCTTTATTCTAATCAGGCATAGAAGGCCCATGCTATAGCTTTGATATTAAGTTTTGTAATTCCCGCATTTCATAGAATAAATTACTATAAGTTATTACTTTGATTATATGTTAATATGGTCAAAAGAAGATTATTATTTTCTGATGAAGTTTAAGAAAATTGAAAACCAACTGAGATAATTTAAACATTCATGACTGCACTAACAGTAACTTATGGATAAAATAAAATAAGCATACAATTACATATATAAGAGCTGAAAAAGTGATATTAGTGGGCCAACTATACAATTTTCATCTTTGTTAAATGGTAATCATCTAAATATTTGCTTAGACATACGGGCCACAATAGAATGTAATGCTTTGTGTACTACAAAGAATAATAAAACACTAACCTATATTCAGCTACCAAGTTCTCCCCTCTGTTGTATACAATCTGTACAAGTCCTCCCTCCTGTTGTATATTGTCAGTACTTAATGGCAGAAACCCCTGGATTGAGCCATAGGCATTGAATAAAAAAGGCCTTTTCTTGTTATGAGAAAACTGAGAAGTCTGAATCTACCAGAGATCCTCACTTTACTTTAATAAGATATTTTGGGAAATGTTGAATTATACAAGACAATTACTATTCCTGGCATTTATTTCACAGCACAAAAAACTACATTCAAAGAGTCTTTGCATTGTTCTGTGTGTCATTAGCCTGGAAATGAGAATGCTTCATGAGCATCTGAGCTCAGTTTTGTCCATTCTCACTCGCTCGTGTGCGCGCTCTCTCTCTCATCTCTCTCTCTCTCTCTCTCTCTCTCTCTCTCTCAATTCTTTGTTGCTGAAAGTATTACATGTGTCTCCTTTTCCTCCATTGACCTCTCCCCACCTGCTCCCGCCCCCCAGCACCTGCCCTCACCTCCCTACTGTCTGTGTCCACTGATTATGCTTATGTGCTTTTATACAAGTCCTTCGGTTGATCTCTTACTGTCCAATCTCTTCTGCTCTATGCATAAGTACCTCTGGTTGTGGCTTGCTCACTGAGTATGGCTCATGACAAAGAAGAGAACAGTCTCACTTGGTCTACCTTTAGTCATGTGGTGAAAGAACACTAAGAAAAAGCCCCAGGCGCTATTCTTCTTTGCCAGCTGCCAGAAAGTAAAAGGAGAGCACCTGGAAACCGCCCCCAAGTCTCGGCTATTCTGTACCTGAAAGCGGATCCGGCACCACAGGTGAGCACAGGGCAGTTCTAAAAACCCAAAAGAGGCCAGTCACTGGTCTTCTATGAGAAACAATCAACTCACATGGACTTAAAGTTTCTCTTTCATTTATGACTGGGAAAGAGGAATGTAGAAAATTATGCCCCAATTCTGGATTGCTCAGTTAGAAAGTGAGTGAGCATCATAATGGTCCGGTAAGCAAGGTAGTGCCCTGCAGAGCAGTGCTGGGCTCAGGGTCAGGTGCGTGGCTTAAGGACTGGCTCATCCGCTTTGCTCTAAGGCTTGGTGCTTCAGGAATAGACTGCTTTTAATAAAGAAGAGTTGCTTCACAGGGTTGTTTTAGATCTTACATGACATGATAAACTTGGAAGTCATTAAGAACACTGCCCATATCTAATTGACAGAGGTAATTTTCCCTTGCTAATAATCAAGAGTTATTTAGCTGTGTTGAAGGTATGGAGTGATAGTACTGCCTGAGCCTATTATTTAATTATGCAGCATCTTAAGGCAGAGCTGGAAACCACATGAATTTTGTGCCCAAAAGTACAGTTTTGTGAAATTGATAAAGCAGTGCTCCATCATTCTCTCAAGTCCACAACCTGCTGCCCAGCGAGCTCAGGCAGACCTGGGCGGGGACTCTGAGTGTGATCAGAAAGGAAGGAAGGGGGTCATACTAAGGAGCAATTTCTTAGTTTTCCTTCTATCAAGACACTTATCTGGTGCACCTCCCCCAAAAAGGAAATGGAAGTCAAATCAATCACTGATTACCAATGACCATGCTTCTATGCCACAGGCCAGAAGTTTAACATAATCAGATTGGCCTTTTCATCTCCTAGTATAAATATGCCCATGATAAATGAGACTTCCTGAGCAAAGGCTTCTGAGTCCTGGAGAAGTCTTAGCTAGCAATCTTTTTTTTTTTTTCTTTCTTTTTCTTTTTTAAGTAGAAATAAAGATTTACTTCCCAAGAAAACATAGATACATTACCACAAACATATTTTCCAAACCTGCTTGTAAACTTATATTTTGCAAATCAAATTGCAGTTTTGATATATCCTACGCTGTTTTCAAATGAAAACAATCTCATGCTCTGGATTTCTACCCCAGTGGATCTAAATCAATGCCACTGTCCACCCAGCTACCGGCTTACAGTCTAAGCCCTCGTCTTTCTGGGGTCCTCTTCCGCGCCGAAATTGATTGGCAATAGAGGTGATGTGATGTTGCACATAACTTTCCCTTTAATTGATATACCTTCATCCACTGAGAGAAAGCCATGAATCCTGCTTTTTGAGGAATGCAGATCATTCTCTGCACACACATGAACTGGAGAGAACAGTTCCCCGTCCACTCTGAGCTGAGATGAAAGTGGATGAATACTTTACCCAACACTCAACTCCTCTTCTGTGGGGACTTAGCCTGACCCGCCTCCTGAAAGGATGTTGACTTAATTCTATTAGTTCCTACTCTAGGGTTTCCTGGTATGAAGGAGTTTTCCCGAGCACAAAACAGTTTCAAAAAGGCCCCCAGCAACCTGCAAGTCCTTATCCAACCCAATATCCAGCACAGGGTTTCCTTTGTCAGCAACCCAGCAGGCTTTGGGGCTCCCATGCATGTAGGGCAGCTGGGGCCAGGCAGATACCATGCAAGGAGAGAACAGATAGGCCAGGCAAAGGAAAGGGTGGTGAGCTTCAGAGTGAGGAGGGAAGACAAAACATTGAAAAATTATTGCTGGCTATCGGCTGTGGGAATATTTGAAAGAAAAATAGGAAAATAATAAATTGATTCTGAAACTTGAATCAAAGGGGATAGGCTTTAGAAATCACTGCTTTCAGTTTTCTTCCCCAAAACACTGACAGGGGCTTTCAACCCCCAACCACATTCTGCCAATTGCATCACGAAGACCCTCTGATGCCTGCAGTCATCGAGGTGCTTTGGGTTTCAGAAAGTTCCTCCACAAAGCTTTATACACAACTTCCCACATTTCCTGGAGGACCTGGGGCTGAAAGGGTTGAGGCCAAGCTTTGTCCCTGGAGGGAGAAAGCAGCTGCACAGGGATTGAGCAGCAGCTGAAGTGCTTTGACAAACATCCTACCCAGACCAGACACTGCACAGCGTAGGCCGGTCACCATATCACCTGACCCCCAGCTCCTGTCCTCACAAGTTCACACATGGCACAACATTTTAATATTTTTCAGTGCAATGCCCCATTTCCTCATGCATTTGTGCTACAAAGGAGTAGATTTTTAAGAAATGTTTTTATTATAACAGAGACAAGCTCATAAATAACAGAATAAATTGATGGTTGCTAGATGTGAGAGAGTTGGGGGTGCTAAAGGGATTAAGGTAAAGAGATTAAGAAGTACAAATTGCCAACTGTAAAAATAGTCACAGGGCCCTAGATGGTTTGGCTCAGTGAATAGAGCATCTGCCTGTGGACTGAAGCATCCCGGGGTTGATTCCTGTCAAGGGCACATGCCTGGGCTGCGGGCTTCATCCCCAATAGAGGGCATCCAGGAGGCAGACGATCAATGATTCTTTCTCATCAGTGATGTTCTATCTTTTTCTCTCTCCTCCTCCCTTCCTCTCTGAAGTCAATAAAAATATATTTTAAATAAATAATTAAATAAAATATAGTCACAAGGATGTAAAGTACAGCATAAGGAATATAGTCAATAATATTGTAATAACTATGCATAGTGTCAGATGAAGTACTCCTTAAATTATTTAAATGTCTAATCATTATGTTGTACAACTAAAACTAAGGTATTACTGAGTGTCAATTGCAACTGAAAAATTTAAAAACCTTTTTTTTTTTTTTTTAAAGAAATGTTTTTAAGACTTTTTTTCTTTTTTGGCCACACTAGTGGGTTGGCAGGGTACATATGTGCATAAAAATCATCTTTAGTGATCGCTACTTGAGACTACGTTAAATTTATAAATGTCACTGCTAGACAGAGGCGTTTTGGATGTGGAGTTTCCTTCATTTTATTTTTCCTTTCATAGATCAAATCTGGGTATCTGCATACTCCATTTATTTGGTTGAGATTTTGTTTACGAGCAATTACCCACATTGTGTTTCTGGAGACTGAAGTTGCTACTATTATATATTGCAGTTTTAAAATAAAATAATTCCATTAAAAAAAAAACTGCCTTAAAAATAATGTTTTTCTGCTTGCAAGTGTTCTTAACATTCTTTGATAGCTCATAGAAGAATGAAGTCGTTGGACCACACAGATCTATACACCTGGCCACTTACATGTGAATTCAGTCAGTCTATCCCAGATCTATACAGCTAGTGAACCCAAGAATGTGTATATTCGTGGACACATGTGTAATTTTAATAATTCCATTAAATATGTATATGCCTTCACGGACACATGTGTGTAGGCACCAGGAATGTGTGTATGCATTCATGGACATATGTGTGTAGCCACTTCAAAGGAAATTTCTCCATAATCCTGAAAACTATCATTCACCTTTTTTGTCAAAAGCCAACTACAAAATTCTCCATCCTATTCTCAAGACCCATTCACCAGGCTGCGCTCTCCCTATGTAAAATACACCTCTGCAGTCCCACCCTAGTCAACAAAAACAAGGCACTTTGTTCACATGATGACATTCTAATCACTTTTCTTCTTCTTTGCATTTATTGCACCTAGTTGACAGACTCCGACATGAATATGGTGTTTTTGTTTACAAGGTGGTTGCACACACAGCCTTTCACTGGAGACACCTAACATCGTCTCTATTCACAGATAAGGAAATTTCAGCCTGGGGTAGTCTGTTATGGGCACATGGCCAGACGGCAAATAAATAAGTGGCAGTAGTAGCAACTGAACGTCCTAGATTTCCAATGTGACACTATACCCGTGATATAATTAAGAGAAATAGAGAAAATGTGCTGTAACATCTTGGCAAGTCTGAACAGTGTTTTGGGGACGAGCAGAGGGATAGAGAGTTCACAAGCCCCGTGAAAATCGCAATCACAGCCCTCCGTCAGGAGTGGAAAGTAGCTGTAAAGGCAGTTATAGAGTAGCTAACTGCTGTCAAGAAATCCCAGTGCTCCCCAAAGGAAGTTAATAAAGACAGGGAGGTTACCTTGGCGGAGACTATTCTGTTATCTGGGTACCTCTGCGGAATGTAGGCGTCAGCACCTGGGGGGGGCTCCTTGTGTCCCACGTATATGGTCCGGTTGTCGACCCAGTTCTCTTCTCCAGCACACTGTGGGGAAGGGAGTGGCGTTAGCACAAGTACCTCAGACGGTGGGTGGCAAAGTTCTTCCCTGGAGTGTTGTCCATGGGAACTTACAGCCTCCTGCAGCGCCACGGGGAAGGGCTGAGCCCCACCTGCCATTGCCAGAGATTGCCACCCCCACCTCAGTCTTTCTCCAGCTAAATGCTCCGATCCCTGTCCAATTCTTCGAGGAAACAGCCTGAGTGGGCGCAACTGCACTCCCAGTGAGAGCCTAGGGAGAGCCTTGAAAAGGCTGGTTTCCGATGGAAATTACATGGGTGGGTTCGTATTAAAAAACAAAACAAAACAGAACACAACAGCAAAATCTTAAGGCTTCCAAAAGAGAAAAGACAATGATGGACAGAAATTTGGGGAAAGGTCCTTAATGAAAAAAAAGTAAAATCTCGAAGACGGAATAGAAGAATTACTCAACCATTTCCGGAGTCTCTATCAATAAGGCTTTCCTGGAAAGAGAGGAGACTGAGGTCTGACTCATCTTTGTATTACTCAGAGTGCTGTGCGCACGGGGATTAAGTAAATATCTTCTGAATAGAAGGATCCTTTAAAAACACCCAACCAGACCATAGCTATCATGAGCACTTAAGTGCATAATAACAACACTATAGTGACTGACTCGAGGCTAAAATGCAGCCTCTTATAGACTTCCCAGTACAGGGTCCTGGCCCTCCCCAGACTAGCACCCCAGAACACGGTCCGTCCGAGTCCCCTTCCCGCTCAGACTAGCAGCCAAAGCATGTGCCCCCCAGCCCTCCTTCAGACTAGCACCCCAGCAAGGGTCCTGGCATCACATCCCAATTCCGCTAAAGCAGTGTTTCCCAAAGTGTGGTACGTGTACCCCCAGGGGTACGGGAAGAGTTTGGTGGGGATACGCTTTGCACCGGAGTTTGGTGGGGATGTGCACTGCACCGTGCTTAGCTGCGCCTAATTCTACGTTCTCCTAAGTATGAGGGGTACTCAGCATTATGAAAATTATAGAAGGGGTACACATATGTCAAAAGTTTGGGAAACACTGCAAAGGAACTCTGAAGAGATCAGCCTCCCTGGGTTATGATGTACAGTGCTGGGAAGGAGAGGGACACCGTTCTAACTGCAGGGACACCGTTCTAATTGCATTGAGCGTCAGTGTGATGGGCATCGGAGTCAAAGGCTCGTTTGTTGCTGAGACACTCAAGAGACTCAGGCAAGTTTCTGAGCTTGAACTTCCTCCTCCGTAAGGGCATGACAGCGCTTTCCTCAGCGTTGTCGGGAATGAACTGAGCCAACAAAATACAAGGCCAAGCTCCAAGGGGGGCACAGGTTCCTTCTGCTCTAAACCTCTGGGCCCACCCTTTGCGGCTTCAGGGAACCCTCACTTTCCAAGGCCAAAAAGAGAGGGGTAACAAGAAACCCAGCATTTCTATTGTTTAAGGTTATTATAAAAGTTGCATTTCCCTACCCCCACCCACCCCATCTTTTTTTTTTTTTTTTTTTTTTTGCTTATACTATCATCACCTTTGCCCATCTATCAACTTCTTGGGAATAAGACTTTTCATGTGTCCCCTCTCTCCTGCTCCCCCCACCTGTGGAGCACAGCATCCGTGGAGCACAGTATGCTTGCACCTTCTCTTAGCAAATTCCACCCACATTTCTTTTCATGAGGACCCAGCTTTGTGGGACAGTTCATGTGACTAAAGAGAAATCGCCTCTGTGACTCCACCTGTGTTTCAGAGACTTAGCAGGGACGCAGGGAACGGCACAAGATCCCTGAACAGAACCGACCCAGGAGCCCCTGCCGGCCTCACTGGGCAGGAGCTTGGCATGTGGCTCCCTCCAAGGAGCCGAATGCTCCATAGGATCAAGGGGCTGCTAAGGGCCCAGCATGCGGGAGCCCTCCCTCCTCAGGCCCTCTGTCTCCCTGCAGCCTCCCTATTTTGGGTGAGGCCACCCATGAGGGATGTTTACTTTAAAAACTTGCCTAAAAGCTTCATAAATAAATCTCTGGCTAGAAAAGTTAAGAAAATTTAAAAAAAAAAAAGTCTCTGACTTCCCTTTCTTTCTCAGGGCATGGCCAAAGACGTGCTTTTTCATTCCCGTGGATTCAGGAAGTGACAGTGAATATATAACAAATGAGTCAGAAAAGGAAAGGCATACAAACATAAATTTTAATACAAAAATAGAAAACCTTTCTTCTAAACTTCAAAGATAGCTGTTGGCTCTCGGCCCTAGTACTGGCTCTGGAAGCCCAAGTCCTCCAGGGGTCACGCCACGGTGCCTGGGGTGGAGCGGGTGCTTCCCGGCACTCTGGCCGGGGACAGAGCACACCCCTCTCATGGGAGGCTAAGTCAGAATGCATTTCATTAAGGCTAATGCTTGTTCTCAACCCTGTCGAGTAGATCCTTATCGTTTTTAATGTAACTATTTAGCATCTTAAACATAACAGTGCGGTGCCGTTTCAACAAATGCAGGTCAGAACACCGTTCCTGCCTGTTGGATGAGATGGGAAAATGAACCCAACACCAACATGCAGGAGGACTGGCCTAGATCTGCACAACAGAAGTCATTTGGGAATGGACCACATACTGGCTAAATGAAAGCTAACCCCTGTACAGCAATGCTGCCTTTACACAGTTTCCTGGGGATGGAACAACCAGTTCCTTTAAGTTCCCTGTTCTAGGAACCGGTTTCCCCTCGTGGACTGGAAGGTCAGTGAAGCTACGCTTCCCCGCTGACGTGGCTCAATCAGCACAGCGGAGCCCAAGAAGGGACACATAGGAACTACATGCGCTGAAGAAATAAAGTGACCGGTGATCTTACACAGGGCACTGACAGGCAGGGGACATTTCTGTGTTCGGATTAAGGCCCCGGCGAGCACTGCACGTTGTTCTCTGCACAAATGTCCAATTCTAAGGCTAAAACTAAATGTTCAAAAGCTGAAGAGAATACAACAAAGAGGGCACTCCTGGAGAATGGCTGGTTTCATCATCACTATTGTAATCACTCCCTCTGGGCCACGCGTGTGTCCTGCTGCTGCTGGGCTGTGAGACTATGGAGGAGTGACCTCACATTTCTGTACTCAACAGTAACATGAGGGATTAGACTAAGTCAGCTCTAAGTTCTAAGATTCTGGTTCTCTGTACACTCAGTCCCTATGATGCAATTCTTAACCTAGCCAGTCTTGAACTAACAACCATCAGTCACACTGTTCACTGTTAAACTGTGGTACAGACAAAAAGGAAGTTATGCCACAGGGTCTCTAAGAACAAAGATGTGGGTTATAATAAATTCTCCCAAGGACAGCAAAGAGGAGACACTGGCCTCTCTTTCTAGGTATTCATTTAGATAGAATGTGTGATAAGGCCCAACAAAGTCCACGTGACTTCTCCCCTCAGAACCCTGAGATGCTGGTCAGCAAGGCAAGGCTGGAACCAGCACAAAGAGGTTTTTCTTGGCTGGCAGGATTCACTACCACCAGGTGCCCTGACTTCATATGAAGATACCTGGCATGCCCCCTGGAAGGCTGGCCTCAAGTTCCAATCAAATGTACAAATCTAAACTGTGAGGATGGGGCTGAGCACTCTGTTGCTTCGAAGATGCAAAATTACCCACCCACACGCCCTGAGCTGTTTCCAGAGGGTTGTGGAGGAGGGGTTCCCTCTGAATTTTGGGAATCACCAAACCAACAGCTGAGAGGCCACTATTACCTGGAGAGTCTGCAAACCACCAGACTGAACATAGAAGAGAAAAGACAAGAAGAATCCAAGGAATCTTGTTTTTCTTATTATTTTTTATAAAATTAAATTGTCAAATACAGAAACAAGGGATAAAGCACCAAAAGCAAGCAAACAAAAACAAATAAAAAAAAACCACACAGAGAGGATCCAAGATGGCTGCTCGGGCAGACATCTAGCCGCGGCAGCACACAACAATTTCAATGGAATACAACTAAAATGTAGAGTGGACATTGCCCAGAGCTACAGGTAGTCGACTGACTGAAATTTCTACAACAAGAAGGAAAGAGAAAACCAGAAAGAAAATCAGAGGAGCTGAAAAAAAGCCTAAGGTACGGAGACATGCTGTGCGCGCCTGCCCGCCCGCACGCGCGCACGGAGAGGTCGCAGCCGGAGAGGAGGAGAGGGCGGGGAGCCGCCTTTCCTTCCCTAGCAGGAAGGAAATAAAACCCCCAGCCTGGGCTGAACCCCCGAACCGGCAGCGCTGAGCCCCCCCGAACCAGCAGCGCTGAGCCCCAGTTATGGGCCAGACCCTGGGGACCCAGGCTCCGGCGGGAGGAGACAGGGCCGTGAGGCGGAAAAACGGCGAAAGGCAGGGCCCCGGGAGTCGCGCGCAATGCGCGCAGAGGACTGAATGTTGACTCTGATGCTGGGTTGCCCTAGCCGGAAGAAACAAGGCCTCCGGCGGCGCTGGGCCTCAGTCCGGACTGCTCCGAACCCCAGTTCTGGGCCAATCCCTGGGGACCCAGGCTCAGGCAGAGGGAGACGGGGCTGTGAGGTGGAGTCCAGGGAGAGCGGCGAAAGGCCGGGCCCCCGGGACTCGCGCAAACTGCGCGCAGAGGACAGTCTGTGGGACTCCCGCAAACTGCGCGCAGAGGACAGTCTGTTGACTCTGATGCTGGACTTCCCTAGCGGGAAGGAGAAAAAAAAAGCTCTAGGCTGGGGGAACGCGGAGGGGAGCGGAAGCCCCTGCCGGACTCCAGCCAACCAGGCACCAGCAAGTAGGCGGGCCACGGGGCCCCTGGGGGCGTGAGTGCCCCTGAGCCTTTGACCACTGAGCTCGGGCAATGGAGCCAAGGCCAGGGGCTGCTTCCTGGGCGGCGCCGTCCCGGCAACAGGCTGAAGCAGCACAGGAGCCCGCGGAGAACAAAGGGGTGCCACAGGCCAACCTGCTGAGCTCCCAGGACAAGGAGGAAGAAACCAAAGAAGTTCTCAATGTGAAGAAATCAAGTGAGAGCAAACAATAGTAAAATTACTTAA